TTTCTGCCTCAACACATGCACTTCCCACACACACAATTTAATAAATGTTGTATTAAAGACATGAACATTTACTGCTTTCTGTTATGTTATTTAAAGCCCCACCAGTAAGTTATGAACCTAAATGTCAACCTTATTCTAGTCTGCACTGATATCCAAACGTTGTTCTCCCAGCAATACAGCCTGGACATCCGTGATAACAACCAGGTGCTGCTGATTAGCAATGTGAAGAAGATGGGGTCCACTCAAGGCCCTCCTCCTGGCCCGGCCATGCTCATCCCAGAGCTCTGCTTCCTTACAGGTTACCATCTTATTCTGCTTCAGCTATAGCCATGGTATCAAATGTTTTTATTCATGAGGAGATTATTACGGAAACAGGTCACTTGTTACACAATTTGTCAGTTTTAACGGGCTTGATTACTTTTCTGATCACAAGAATACAGCAAAAAAGTGAAGATGCACTCAGAAGTCCTTGTGTGGTTATTGGTGACAGCAGTTAGTCTTTCTGGATCCATTGTAAAGCCTAAACATTTGGTGACATTTGTCCTTACTTGATAATAAACTCATTTTGTTTGACAGGCTTGACTGACAAGATGCGAGCTGACTACACCATCATGAAGGACTTGGACAAACACACCAAATTGGAACCACAACAGAGGGAGTCACGCCTCAACAGATTTGTCGCCAGTTTGCATATGTAGGTGATATTTGTGCACTTGTGGCCACAACGATGCAAGCCCAATTAATGTATGAAGAGAACTGGATGCAGCGGTTCATTCCACATTTGACATCTTTCAGGACGCATTGCGTTAAACTATTAAAAAAAAGCGCTATTAAAGTGACAGTATTAATGCAGTATCTGTTAAATTGTGATATTTTTTAATTTTATCGCTCTAGCCTCCTTTCGTAATGTGATTGAAACAGTAGTTTTAATTCCTAGGTTTGGCAACATTTAGTTTAAAAGCATGACACACTTCCTGTCGGCTATGACAATCCCTGTTTACACATACTGAGATGAATGGCCAGCCAACTGAACAGGTCTAATCAACACACTTTTTACTTGAGTGAGGCGGCTGTACACATCAAAAGTGCCATTTTCCACATCTTGAGGCATTATGATACCAGCCTTTGATTTGAACCCCAAACATGTTTCCATAGGAACACTGACGCTCAGGCGGAGTTGGACAAGTGGGGACTCAGCTTTGACAGGGAACTCCTGAAAATGACTGGCCGAGTCCTCCCCGGGGAGAGGATTTTCCAGGGATCAAGATCGGTACAGTACATGCTTGTGTTTGCATTAATACATTTTTCTAAATAAATTCAATGTATTCATTTCTATGTTCTGTAAAAGGGTTAAAATAATTGTTTTGTCCCATAGTATGACTTCAACCCCATGATGGCTGAATGGGCCAAAGAGATGCGTGGCATGCCTGTCATCAGCTCTCCTCCGATTGACAAGTGGTTCATGTTTCACACCCGGCGTAACGTCAACGAAGCGATGTCCCTTATGCAGACCCTCGGCAAAGTCTCCGCTCCCCTCGGGATCCGCATGCAGAAAGCCGTCATGTGAGTTTCAGCAAAAAAACACTGCAACAAAAAGCAGCGACTTTATAGACCAGTGACCATCAAAATGAACGGCCCTGATTCGATGGTTTTTATGATCATTTAGTTATTGCAAGCTGTTCTTTTCCTTTAGGATCGAGTATGATGACCAATTGGAGTCTCTCCTCAGAGCCCTGCAGCACAACGTGACACCCCAAACACAGATGGTGAGTGGCTGAATATATCATGCTTAAACTCAGGTGTATTACTTTAGTTGAGGGTTGCACAATATTTCAATTAGGCACCTCAAGTTATATCTGTTGTGCTGCAAAAGGAAAACGTGCACAGGGACCACTCATCGGTTGTTCTTTAATCGGTTTGATCAAACAAACAAAGCCAGGCTGATCGTCCTTAAAATGAACGAGGGGCAGGAGATAAAATCATCAGGAGCTGAAACACAAGTTGTATGGAAATATTTCACCTACAGAAATGGATGATGGCGATCTCAAACGGGTACTTTGCGGTAAAACAGTTTAAATGTTGCGGAAGAAAGAATCGATGTCTTTTAAATCCAGTTTTTCCCAATAGCATGTAACTTCAAAGCTAAATGAGACATGCTGTTTTTCTATATTAGGTGGTGGTGGTCCTCGCCAGCAACAGGAAGGATAAGTATGACTCTATCAAGAAGTACCTCTGTGTGGACTGCCCCACCCCCAGCCAGTGTGTGGTGGCCCGGACCCTCAGCAAACCCCAGGCACTCATGACCATAGCTACCAAAATTGCTCTGCAGATGGCTTGCAAGGTTGGAGGAGAGCTCTGGAGCGTGGAAATCCCTGTAAGTTGTACAAGAACAAGAACTCATCTGTTCATTGAAGAAATTAAAGCTTAACGCGTGTTTTAGAAAAACGAGATAGTAGTTTTTGAGTGAGTTAAGTTGTTTTAGAGAGTAGCACTGCTACAGCTAATTGTTTCACTAAACATAATACAGCTATATTTATAAAGCATTTTAAACCTCCAGACCAAAGTGCTGTCAAAACAAAACATACAAAAAATGATACAGCACAAGTAAAAACAACACTCTAAAAGATGTTAATACGTCGCTGAGGAGAAGAGGTGGGTTTTAAGAAGCGATTTAAAAGCGTGTGGCAGCCTGTCTGATAGGCATGGGTAGATCGCTACAGAGAAGCAACGGAATGACTTTGATTTGTTAAAAATGTAGCACTCGGACTGTGGCACCCTGCCGTTGGGTAGTTACCCACCACATCTTTATAATGAACCCAAAATTGAACACCTCGTTGGGGGATTCAGACGATTTACTGCTTTTCATTAGTTTCAAGTTTGGGTGAAACCCGAAGGTGCTGATGAATGTGGTTTGGAAAAAACGTGGACATGACGCTTGCTGCTAACTTGCCCTTCTCTCTGCAGCTCAAACAGCTGATGATTGTGGGCATCGACTGCTACCATGACATCTCGGCCGGGAGGAGGTCCATTGGAGCTCTGGTTGCCAGCCTCAACCAGAGCATGAGCAGGTACGTTTCTACGGACAAACCCCTCAAAAGTTTCTACATTGTTCTTCTGTCACGATCATGATACCAAACACTCTTAATTCAGCATTATTTATTTGCTGTTCGTGTACACATTACACCAGTGCCTCCGCTCTGGTACATGAACGCATGGCGAAACAAACATGCCTTTTTATCCTTATGAAAGCACCTTACTGTCTCGACATTTAAATTGGATTGAACTATAAAGCATATTATAACAGAGGCCGTGTATTCTAATCTGAGGGGTAGCCTCTTTCCTCACGTAACATGTTTCCCCTCTGATTTAGTGCCACAACACAACCAATAAGTCGCGTGCTGTTTTTATTTTCTGTCAAGGTGGTATTCAAAGTGTGTGCTGCAGCACAAAGGGCAGGAAATCATGGACGGACTCAAGATGGCCTTGTGTGGTAAGTTTACTTTCAGAATTCTCTGAAGATAGTCAGAGATAGACCTAGCTTTAATTTTCTATCAAATCTTGGCCTCGGTGCTATAATGTTTTCATTTGTGTTCCAGGTGCTCTGAAAGACTACATGAAGTTCAACAACTGCCTGCCTTCGCGCATCATTGTGTACCGAGACGGGGTGGGAGACGGCCAGCTGCACAGCGTGGTCGACTACGAGGTGTCACAGATCCTGGACTGCATCAAGTCCATGGGACAAGACTACGTGTGAGTACTTCATCTCTAAGAGCCCTCTCAAAGCATTCACAAGGCTTGAATCTTAGGACTTTATTTTATACTTGGCGTAAGTAATGTTTGGCTATGTGTTGAGAAGGATCCCTGATTGGTTGAGTGGGGTAATGGAAGCACCCTAACGACTTGAACAGAGCTCATTATACCAGAAATGGCCAGTTTTCTGATGGGGCCTCTCCCTCTGTTGGTCATAGGCCCAAGCTGACTGTGGTGGTGGTGAAGAAGCGCATCAGCTGCAGGTTGTTCAGCCTCGTCACTGGGAAGGCCACCAACCCCCCCCCAGGCACCGTGGTGGACTCAGTCATCACCCGTCCAGAGTGGTATGTTTCTGGATGGCCCTGCATTATTCTAAACATTTTCAGTAGTAGGAGGTAACTGTTGCAACCTTTCAGGTATGACTTCTACATCGTGAGCCAGCATGTCCGCTTTGGCAGCGTTGCCCCGACCCACTACAACGTAGTGTACGACAGCAGCGGCCTGAAGCCTGACCACATGCAGCGGCTCACCTACAAGCTGTGCCACATGTACTACAACTGGCAGGTAGGCTGGCCATGCAGTTTAACATTATTATGGTGACTTGAGGACAGATATTGTCTTACAATATTTGGATATCCTAATAATGTAAGTGCTGTTCAGTCTTGATTTTAAAAGCTGCAGTGAAGTAATGCTACATTCAGAATTGAACAGACTTCTTAACTTCTGCATTTCTCTTAATCAGAAAATTCGTCAAAAATACTGAGGGATTTGGTCAAAAGTAACTTAATTCTCTTCATATCTACTTTAAAATAATGGTTTTCCAGAACCAACATGAATTGGCTAATAACATATTGCTAAGGGTCAACCAGTGATTGTTAGAGTTGATATGCTCTGGTTTATGTTCTGTGTTTGTGCTTCAGGGGATCATCAGGGTGCCCGCTCCGTGCCAGTACGCCCACAAGATGGCCTTCCTGGTGGGCCAGAGCATCCACAGGGAGCCCAGCATGAAGCTGGATGACCTGCTCTTCTATCTATAGTGAGGAGGAGGAAGGGCGAGCGTTTTGTTCTGACGTTTAAGTTGCCTTCTGATGGAAAGGCATGGTCGTGTTTAAGTTTTGCCAAAGCAGAGTTTTTTTTACATTTTTGTAACCTTGTGTATTGATTTACGCAGTTCTTGTTCACATTTGATAATGTTCTAATAAACATTTGAGTTAAGTATTTTGTGTTCATTTAAAGCACACATGCAAACATTACAAAATATCAAATTTATTTAGTTTGTTTTTCTAGAAAAGATTGCACATGCACACCCACACAATAATTTGTAACCACCAATATAGGCTGATATTTCTTATCATAAAGCTAGCACACAATTGCAGACTTTTAAAACAAAATGGTCTTCAAGACACCATGGGGAAAGCTTGCACTGTTTGATTATAAAGTTAAATGTACAAAAAAGGCAGTTTGAAAATCAAGTATAAACATTTAAAAACAATTTTACAAATGGACAAAGTACAAAAAGAGCAACAGTCACTCGAAATGAATAGAAGCAATGGTCCATACATAGGAAGGATGAACGCCAGCTTACCGCAGGTTAACAAGGCTGTCCGGACGAGAATTGTACAGAAAGTATTACAGAATGTTTTGCATACATTCTTTTTTGGCAGTTTCAGTTCAACTCTAGTCATAGAAAAAATAGGCTAGATTTTCAGATACATGAGGATGAAGTGAGGAAATAAAGATGGACGGTTTCATTTCACGCACTAAGACGGACATCTGCACTATCCTTTAGGGCAGCTTTGAAAAATACATTGGCTTTCAATTCACCATACATTCACTACTCTACATTAAGGTGTAGATATATATTGATATACAGTTCTTGTATCCTGCACCCTAAATCGGGACACTGAACAGGCATCAACAGACAGATTGGCTTGAATAAACATTTTTGAGATCTAATAAATGTTGGGTAAGAAGGGTTAGGGCAGCGTAGAGGTAGCCTTGTGTCTCACTGTTAACAGAAACCTTAGTCTTCTAGTGAAGTGTTGCATGTTAGTCAAATGCAGTACGATAACAGGGATTTGTTGATGCTATAGCACAAAGATCAACTTCCATTTATTTGATCTGTTAATGTAATATAGTTTTCTCTGTAGAGTAGTCATTGTTTTAAACCAGATGTGCGGCATTAAAAACAGTTACCTAAAAAACAAGTACATTTACTCAGCCTCAACATTTGGGATGCAGAGAGAATTTGTTTAATCTATTTTCTAAAATTAAAAGTCTTGACCATGATAGACATCGTCCCCACAGGAGTCTTGGACAGTTACATGTGAGCTCTGGTCCTGATGGAAACCCTGCACATCACAGGTCAGGATCAACATGTTTATGTGAAGGTACCGATGTAAATGAATAGAATGCATGGACCTGCAGTGCGCACTACTGGGCACTACTAACTAACCATTGTGCGATTATAAGGCAAATACATGAAGGTTGGATCTGCTAGGCATTTCCATTCAGGCTGCAGAGATCCTGTAGTAGGAACAGCATGTGCTTCCTTTTCTTTTAAGGTTTTTTGGGGGGGGACATTTCTTCTATCACAGGGCAGAAGAATAGGAGTTAATTCTGCTGATTTGTCACAGTATACTGCACAGCCATGCTGTAGTATAGTACTGCATGCTCTCTCAGGGGTCAGGAGGGAATGTGCTGAAGTAAAGCATGCAAACCTCTCATACATTTATGCAACTGGCTGTGTGGAATAACTCTCTTCGGATTGAAAACTGAACACCCATGTTAAATTGATCCTTCTGGGTTTGATTGACATTCTGATTTCTGTACACAGACACAGGTAGGACTCATAATGTGACACGTTTGGTAACTCACAATGTGCAGACTGCCTGGCCGTGTCTCTGTCAGCAAACATCAGTCAGACTTGGAGGTAAGATACTGAATACTATACCGGCCGACAACGAGGTCTCAGGATCATAATATATATTGAAAATATGTAGTTAACAAAATACAAATATTCTAGTATACGATGGATGTACAAGAATAAAGCATTTTCTAAGCTTTTCTTTTTTTAAAACACTACAAGGAAGTATGTGGAGAAATTATTTTACAGCGCCAAGTCCTTGCAACAGTGTCTTTCCTTTGGAGAGCAGTCCTTTTTTCCTTTGGAGGAGTACAGGGTGGCAGGGCCGGAGCCGGGGGGGTGCGGGCGCTCTGTGGGAGGGCCTGCTCTTCTGGGCCGACCCGAGTTTTCCAGTGGAACCTAATGGAAGACCCGTAAGGGACAGTTGAGGGTGTTAAAAAGTCAGCCGTCCCTCCCCCCTCAGTCACTACTCCCCGACTCCTAAGTCCTCTCTGCCTCAGCAGGGCCACCACAGATCGGAAGTCTACCTCCCTGGACGTTGTCCCGTGCACTCAGGTAAAGATACACTGCCCCCTCCCTCTATCAGGGAGAATCAGCATTTTTATTTTTTATGAAGCTGCTAGGAATTAGCTACAACAACACAAAATGTAAGCATGACACTAACTTTCACATTATTTTGTCGACAACATTTCCCCAACAATAAATATCAAGGATAGGGCAAATCCTCTCACTTCAACACATTTGCATTTTGGGACATGTTTATATCACATTCACTTTCCTTCCCCTTAAATATGGATATTTACTGGTACAACTGGGTCACAGAGAAACTACTAGTCACCATTCCTTTTCTGTAATCATGAGCTAAAAGGCTCCTTTAAATTGCACTTTGGAAAGACAGATGGTCAAAGATTCCATTTATATAAACATGTGGTTAAAACACCAGAACATGTAACGTATCAAAATCTTTTGTATTTCATTATGCTGACTTTAAAGCGGGACTGTTAAAAACAAAACATGCCTACACTTGCATATAAAGAGTTGTATTCACCTTATGGTGGCTACTGTTAGCAGTAAATTAGGTAGGTTGGAACATAACTGTCAGATTTCTAAATGCTGAACATGAGTAGCAATTCAGCATAATCTGACTCATCTGTAGCCGTTAGTCAGCTAAAATGTTATAGTCTCGCTTTAATTCAATAATGATCAGTTGGCAATTTACTGTGATAGTTAATCTTGGTTCACAGCATTAGCACTGTTTTAAACTTCAATGCTTACGGATTGGATAAATATGGACTGTTATTATATTTGCATAAAGTAATTTGTCTTACCATTTCACATTATTCTTTGCATAAAAGAAAACAATCCCAAATTGGCCCAAATTACTTTTGAACTGCAAATCCAAATTCAATATTTTCATGGTATCATTCTTTGGAGTTTTGCATAGAATTTGAGGGTTTTCTGCACTGGGAGTAGTCTTAAGTACTATTCATTTAAATTGAATTAGTGCATGTAATTGTGAAACTACGGCCTTTTAGCTTACCATGAGTTACAGCAGGAGACTTATTGCAGGAGACGAACATTGTCATGTACAACACTCAGAGAAACAACTGAAGATACCATACTTCTTGTCTAATGCATTGGCTGGGGTGACGGTCGCCTACCAACAAACAGTATTGAGGGTTGAGGTGAAACAAAGAGGGATCTAAGACTACCCAAAGGCATGGCAGCACTGAAGGAATGTCAGATAAAAAACACATGTTGCATACCAGACGCTAAGGGTACCCTTGACATCTGCATTAGACGAGGGGAGCGTAATCTTGGTATCCTCAGTTGCTCACTTACGTGACGGAAACAGAGCCTTTAAGGTGTGAAATGAACACTCTTCTTCTGTTTTGCCAAGCGGGTGAGAAAAAGGAATAAAACAAAATATGGTGATGGAATTTCAATAGTTTGCAGTATGACAAATGGCAAATTAGAACACAAGGAAAGAAATATCTGATGACACCTATTCATATTTCAACAATTGCATTATTTGTTAAACACAAAAATAACATCACATATTTACATTTAGTAAATCATTACTTCTGAAATTATTCTCTGATGGCAACATAGGCTAAGTGACCTTTGCGTGCTACTTTACAAGAAAGCAATATACAAAACAAGGCGTTCAGGAGCAGATACAAAAGTTGTACTACACTAGACTCTTCTTTTTAGAAAATGTTCATGCATCTGGAATATAGGACATGCTGAGCTACAGACTACATAGTTCATCTTTCAGTACAACAAAACTATTTACTCTATTATAAATTATTTGAGATCAGACACAGAATATATTCATAAAGCATCTGTTAGAATGCTAAATACGCATGTGCAAAAAGTGTTAACTGCTCTTTTTCAAGACATGACAGAACAAGTAAAAAGTCACTCTCATTGAGAATGCTTTATGAATACAATATCCATGTGTTATACAATGCACAACTCCCCCCCCCTTTCACAGCGGTAAACATGAAAAATAAAAGTACCTCTGTCAAGTATTAGTCTTAAAATTTTATTTTTTCATAGATCTTAGACATCTATTTATTTACAGTGTAATGCTCCAAAGTCAGAAATCCCATTGTACTTCAATGAGACGCACAGACATGGTACTAAAAGAGATAGAGGGAACTGAAAATGGATGACAGAGGGCTAGTACTGCGAAGGAGCATGTACCCTTTTGGTCTTTATCCGTGCAGGAGTGTCCTGGGGGTATCGAGATGGTGAGTCAGTGAGAAAAACCTCCACATCGTCAGGCACTTCTTCTAGAAAGTTGGAAGGAACTAGTCCCTTGTGTCCATTGAGCTCGCCCTGAGAAGCACACAAGGACAGTGAAACACATCTGAGTTTAGCTTTCAATGAAGGTTTCTCATTTCTCTAATTTCGCCCTCCTCGACTCCTCGAATCGAATGCACATCGAGGACCGAGGATCGAGGAGGCTCTCTGGAGGAGCTATAACCGAGGATACACTGATGGTTCCTCCGCGGATGTATTTCCGGCAACAGAGATGTTTCAAAGAGTCGTGACGCACGGCGGACTTATCTCAGCCAATGACAGCTCTGCATGCATCCCCTGGATATTATTTTACTAACTGTTTGAACGGTGACACGATGTTTACAGTAAGAACAGCTGTGAGGTCGGTGCAGAAAGCAGAGCAGTGTGTATAATGTATATCACTCAGTATAACAGGCCTACATTACTCTCTTTATTTGTATTTGTATTTAGTTTAGTAGATATCTACAAACAAAGAGTCGATATTTTTCTAAGACCATTTAGTGCTTCACATAATAAAATACACAACAGCTGTATTCTGATATTATATGCTTTAGGAGCTGTAGGTGTGTGTGGTACAGTGTGTGTGTGGTACAGTGTGTAGGTGTGTGTGTTGTACAGTGCGTAGATGCGGCAGACAGACAGGTCTCAGTTGGTTTGGTGTCCTATGCTTACTTTTAATACTGGGGGGGGGAAATATCCAGTCTCTGATTGTGTTACGTTATTATGAGAGTGCTCTTTGATTCTGAAATTGTATATATTTATATAAATATATATGTGTGTGTATATGTCCGCATCTGTAGCCTGTTATTGTCTCATTATACCGCACTGTCAATGAATTAAAAGTAAATATATAAGTCGTCATGAACACATCTGTCCATCAGAGTGCTGTGCCTCCTGTCATCATTAATGGACGTCTCTTTAAAATGACCGCTCAGAGGAGAGGAGTTCTCATTTCTCTAACCGCCTGCTGCTTCCCCTCCTCCCTCCTCGGCTCCTCCACTCGCATCTCCTGTGGGCGGCACTAAGACACGAGGATAGGAGTCGAGGAGGGGAATTAGAGAAATGAGAAACCTTCAATGTTACCCTTCAGTTTCAGAGTATCGCCCCAGTTTCAAATCAAGCTGCAATAGAGTTGAGAAATGGGAGGACGATGCGAGAATGTATAAGCATGAACACAAGTTTGTGCCAAGTGTCTCTACTGTAGGCAATTTTTATTATATGTACAGCACTTTGGCTCGACCAAAAATCGTTTATAAATGTGCTATAAAAATAAAACTTGATTTGATTTGATTTGTACATTCAGCAGATCCAAACATGAATCACAGGACATTGTCTATGGAGGAAATGAATGGGTCTATATACTGAGGGTGCCAACAATCGTAGTTCCTAACTCTGCTGACGTATTGGATGGTTTTTGAAAAGCACTTTTTTTTACTTTTTTTTTTTTATTATATTTTTTATTATATATTTTTTTATTATATCATAACTTGCTTTTTTTAACATATGTAACATTAAGCTCTATGTGGCTCTTTCCTGCTGTAACGATGCAAATGTCTCCTCTGTGGGACTAATAAAGGTATTCTGATTCTGATTTACAATACATTTAAAAAGAAAATATAAATGTACACTCAAGCTCTGGCCACCTGTTTAATGACTTCTCCTTTGTTTCCAAGACATACATGTTTTTTTTATTGCTATAAATGCTACATTACCAATGAGCCGCAGCCAAGGTGTGAAAAAGGCTTGAACGATTAGTTGAACAACAGAAACAAAATCACAACTATTTTGATAGACATTTTTGGTTTGTTATGCAAAAAGCCTCTGAAATTCAGAAAATGCCAGTTCTTCTGTTTTATGCTGTGTTAAAGTGAATATCTTTCAGTTTTAGACTGACAAAACATTCAAAGACATCATCTTAGACTGAACTTGGATGGATATTTTTCACATTTTTCATTTAAAGGAGCAAACAATGAATCTAAAATTTTTTTGGCAGTATAGTCGATAATGAAAATGATCCTCCCACTTCACAACTCTATGATGAACGCACAGATGTGTTTTGGTGTAAACTGTACCTATTGTAGTTCACCTGTAAAGATGCATTGTGCTCTGAAATAGTAGGGGAAAACAGAAACAGATGCTAAAAGGACATGAAAATAGAAATGTTTAGAACTTACATAGTAAAAGCCATCTTCATCGATTTCACCGAAAACTGTGATGACGTCACCGGCACAGAAAGTCAGTTCAGGCTGTCAAAGGAGACAGAGCATTACGATACTGGACAGCAGTAAACAGGTTTAAAAAACAACAGGTGTATTGGGGTTGGAGGGGTTTGAAATGCTGTGCTTCCTTCTCCAAATGAATGTGATGCATCTTAAACACGAGTGTCAACTCAGTCTCTGCAGACGGACTGTTGCAACTGTCGATGCATCACATGTTGGAACTTTGAAGACAGGATTGCAACACACTGGGCACATCTGTCCTACGGGGGGGGGGGGGGGGGGGGGGGTCAGAACACACAGACCAAACACAGTGTATGTACAGTATTTAGAAGACAGGTCGACACAATGGACCAAACTGAGGAGGGGAGATGCTGGCTGAGGAAACGCATGAAGGGCTGTGTTCATGACCGCCAGGGCCCGTCATCTGAAGCCACCTCCTCGTTTGCACTCCAACAAACGGGGGAGGATACACACACAGAGCAGACAGTACCATACCCTCCTCTTCCTCACTCACCTCCTCATTCAGTCTGTTGCCCTCATACTGTGTCGGTGCCAGTGCCAATAGAAAGGTGAGAGTAAGTGAACGGGGGGTGGGGGGCAAAAAAACAGCACGGGAAAGTAATTCAATCCTGTATCTTACACAATGCTAACTGTAGCCCTTTGGTAACATATTGCCTGAGTTGAAGAAGAAGTGGTCAAATGATGCGATTCTTACTTCCTATAATTGCAGAACAGTCGCGTTCAACTCTAGACAAAACTACCCCGTCAAAACTCACACAACTCACTAAAGAAAGTACACATAGTGCACACCGTGTACTACATGGAAGTTTAATAATGGCTCTGTGTGCAACCGTCTTAAAATAAGAACTTGAACACGAATTAGGTATAACATGCTAATTTCAGTTATTTGCTAGTAACAGAATACAGAGGCAGATACTGTATATTTAAACATTTCATCAGAGTCAGTCTAGAAGTTTCGCCCTGCTTATTTCCTTAGTGCTAAGCTAAGCTAACCATTCTCTGGCTAGCTTCATATTTACCTGACAGACACAAGACTAGCATCAATCTGATCTAGCTTGGCGACACAGTGAATATGCTTATCTCCCAAAATGACTTTAAGTAGAGAAATCATTAAACAAAACATTGAACATCCTCATCTTTGTGCTTTGACTGCTTTATGCATCTGTTTACATGATGGTGGTGACAGAGAATGATTAAAGTGAGCCACAGGAGGGCAGTACCTCTACATCAACGTTAGGGGAGCTCTCCCGGGGGTCGTAGTCGTACAGAGCCACCATTCTTCGTGTGGACATCGGATGCTGCCGGCCACTCCGCCTGTTCCTCTCTATTTAGAGAACAAGTGATAATAAACAGAAAAACAGTAAATCAGTGGAAATAACATATCATCTTTCCTGAAGGATGTGATGAGCTGTGATGAGCTGTGATGAAACATGATAGCTTTGAAATGTCATAATCTGGCTTGCAAGCTAAACTACACTCATGTTTTTAGTTATGGTAAGCCTAGTTATAAAATATATATTAGAGATTAGTTTGAAGCAGTCAATAGATGAAAAAAGATGGTGAGGAGTAGGAAAGGAGCAGTAAAGTAAAGAGCAGAAGAGCATCTCACAGGACACAGACCTCGCTTGGACTTTCTGGACCTGCGATTTATTGAGCGGCCATCTTTGAAACGGTCACAGTTCACTTTACAAGAAAGCAGAAAAGAATAAGAGCAAAGGAAAGGATAAATATGTCAGTAAAAGACAGTTCAGAAGTTGGAAGTCAGGGAGGGTATAAAGGCAAAGTAAAAAACAGAAGAATGCAAGGCGGTGCAGAAGGAAAACATCTCACCTAACTTCTCCACAGGAGTGTTGAGTGGCAGGAAGCCCTGTTTAAGGAGCTGGTCTATCATATCATAATCCTCTGTTTGGATCTCAGAGACCATGTTACAAGGGATCAGACCAACTCGGTCCCGGACCTCCGCCCTGTAGAAACCATCCGTGTCTTTGTTCCCAAAGACCTAAAGGAACAACAAAGTGTCAGGGGAAGAAAGGCATGCCAGAAACAGGTAATATGTAAAACAAGGATTAGAAAAGGCACTTCTACAGTAAAGGCATTCGCCAAGACAACATTTGGGCATAGAGGATTTAAAGAGACAAGAAATCTAGCATCATTTTATTTTTTTGCTATGCATGAAACAAATCCGTCTATAGGTCTTTGTAGTGTCTAAGAACTGCACCTTGATGATCTGGCCCTCCTTGAATGGAAGCTCCTCGTCAGCAGCGTCAGGGTTGGGAGACATGGACATGGGGTCGTAGTCGAACAGAGCCACGAACACACGCGTCATCTCGTCCGGCTCCGACTCCTCGTAGTATTCCGGGGAGCGCCGTCCCCGCCCGGTTCGCCGCCCGCCATAGCCGTCTGAAACATAGAGGAGGCCTCTGCTGCTACTACCAGCCTTATACAGCCACGCTGGCTGTAGAGGCAATGAGAGCAGAAGATGTCTCTTTGTTAGAGCTGACAGGGGAGAGGGCGATGAGATGCATGTGTGAAAAAAGAGCCGAAAATCTTGCTTTTTGTTTTAATCTCTTTTACTTTGGAAACCATATTCCAGTCGGGTTCCCGCACTGAAAGCAAAGGGTGCTTTTACAGAAAAAGGCTCGGTGCAACCGTGGCACATGGTGGGGTTCTTCGTTCACACATCTCTGCTAGCTGGCGTGACAGTCTCTAAACATCACAGCACGGTGGGAGCACAGTACAGCACAGCACAGACAGGAAACACATGTCAAGCAGATTTCAGGTTGCAAGGGAAACTGAACTGACTGTGCACACCAGGACACGAGTAACACTGCACTATTGTTCATTGCTGTTTCACTGCCTTATCTCACAGAGGCTAATTAACATGCATGCTTTCCCTGGATTGGACACGATGAGGAGAGCATTCCTATATCAAATGCAGGTGTTACAGGCATGCTTTGAGGTCACATCTGGAAACAATGTGCAGCGAGAAAAGGACAAAGGAGGCACGTTCCCAAGGGAGATAACACATCAATTGCCCCAGCAGTTCCTGGCATCGCAGATATCAGTGAGGGGGAAGGGATGAACCTGATATCAGTTCCCCATGCTTCCCTTGGATCACCATGTTAAATGTTTCAATGGCAGATTGTAAGTCTGGATGATGGCTCAGAGGTATTGCAACCAATACTAACTAAGCAACTGAAAGGTGACTTTTTGAAGATGTGAAATGTGTTTCAGTCTTTCCTTCTCACTGTATTGTAAACGGCTCATGCAAAATTAAAGCAAACGGGCTACTGGCTCATGAAGGAGGGAGGAGAAGGAAAAGAAGAGGAGGTCGGGGTAAGTTACTGTGGGGTGGTGAGTGGCCTGCATATGGAGGGTGAACGGGAAGAGTAGGAGTGAGTTGGGGATTCTAGGAATTGAAGGTGTAGGAGTACATACAGGGAAGGGATTTTCATTCTCCAAAAAGCGGGAAAGGGGCCAGTCTTGGTTTCCCCCGTCAGCTTTATTCATGCTTTATTCAGCATAGCTAAGCTATAGAGGCTAACTGTTCAGCACAGAACAAAGGCCACCATATTACTGCATGTGTTCAAAAAACGACTCTTGGCCTTTTCTGGCATTGTCAAGGTGAATTGTCATAGTCAGCTGCACCACATACCATATTGATCCTCTGAGGACAAAGATCGCCATATCCTGCGCCGAGCTACACTGCCATAGTTAACATCCTCCTTGACGGGTGAGAGGTTCCCCTCACTCCCCTCACTGTTACTGTCCATGGTGATCTCTACAGAAGACACCAATCACAACGTTATGGTCAGAGATCCCCGCACACACACTCTGCTCTACCCCATGGCCCAATCACTCATGCTGAGACAGTAGGATGATGGGGTTGCCCTGAGGTGGGGGGGTGTACAAGGCAACAGGTTTCACTCTGGAGTCACTGGGTGTAAAACAGCAATGCTGGGAGGTCAAATTGGTTGGTCATGTAAACATGTTAACCCACAGTAAACACAGGCATAGGGAGTGTATCTGGGAAGACTTTCCTGCAGAACTGCATGTGAACATTTGGCGATTCCAGCTTGTGAGGATGGACAGCTACAGGGTGTGCATTCACCCCACAAATTAAAGGTCTACGTGACAGTTAAGCTCTATGGGAGAGATGTACAGCTCGGCTCACATGGGTAAGGGAAACACATGGTATAAATAGCACAAACATCAGTGGCCCTGCAGGTGGGATGACGCTTCTCCTCATGTGGTGACCTCACTAACCAATGGATGGGATTTGCCGCTGTTGAGGGGGGTTGCCGATGTGAACCGCCCTCCTTCCTGAGTGGTCCAGGCGATCAGAGTTTCCATGTGATGAAGAGTTCCCAATGATCTTTAGAGTGGAAAACAAAAGACGAGACGTTAGAACAACGAACCGCCTGCATTTTGAAGATTAGATAACTTTATAAGGTATTTACAGAATCCCACAATCCTGTTAAAACAACAGAAAAAAACCATAAGAGCAAATGTTGTGACTTCCATTTGTCCTTAGGGCAGCAAAATAATAGTAAAACTGAAACAATAAGGAAACCCCACAGACCATCAAAACAAGTAAATCAAATCAACCCCCAACACAACAACATGGACTGGGGGTCAGAAAGGGTCAGATGGTTAGCTAAAGACCATTTGTTTGGTTTGTTTTGTTCTGTGCATGTCAGCTCCTTGATGAGAAAAGAAAGCAAATGGCGGCACGATTGATGATTAAAGAGAAAGAGTGGATGAGAAGAAAAGGAGTGAAATAATGGATAAATATGTAGTTAGATGGAGAAAGCCATTATAACGTTAGCCTGGAGCGATGTATACTACCAAATCAAAACATTTAATATGAGAAGTGATGATGAACAAGTTTGTTTTTGCTGAAACATGTGAAAGAGGCAAGCAAGAGATGATGAGTATGGGTCGATGGCTAAATGAATCTCCGCAGGCTGCAGAAGTCTTGATCTGGCCTAAATATGAATATGAAGCAATGAGAGGCAGGAGATGCTGAAATGGAGCTTCAAGCACAAAGTGGTGCGATACAGCAGCAGAGGCCGAGTCATGGAGATAAACAAATGAAGCCGGCAGCTGCCAGAGAGAAGGCAGGGGAAGAAGAGACGGGAGCAGCACTTTCCTTTACATGAAACCTTTCCCCTCAAAGACATGAGAAGTCAAAACGTAGGTAAATGGCCTTTAGGTAATTGAAAACTCTACTTTAAAATCCACCTGACATTCTGAGTACAAGCAAAGTAACACATACAAAATAAAACATCGAGTCGGACCAACCATGAACATGTGATAATGTGTCATAAAAATGAAAAACAAAACGGCAAATGAAAGAAAAGAAAAAGGGGGTCATCATAAAGAAAAACAGACAACATTAAGAAAACAGAATGGCGGCAGCTTGCTGATGAAAGTACAGCAGAAAGTCTGAATCACACACCAGCGGCTGGTCCCTGTTGAGCCTGGACAAAGAATGGGCCCTAGCCTCCCTGTGGGGGCTGTAATAAACCCTGTCCAGCTCGTCCAGCCTGCCCTCGCTCAGGGCCCCCTCCCTGGAGTAGTTTCTGGGCCCAACCTCCTGACTGGGCCCAAAGTGCTCCCTGCTCCTAAAGTCCCCCCTGTGCACCGACTTGGCTGTAGTCGCTGGGATGTCAGCGAACTCCTCCTCTACGCTGCACTGGCGAGTCAGAGTTCTTTTGCGACCCATGGCCAGCGCACGCCTTTCTACCGGGCCTTCGCAGTGTATGATCTGTATGGGCCCCCGCATGGGGCTCCCATGAGTGTAGTACCCTCGATACCCTCGGCCTAGAGAGCCTTCTTCCTCACTGCCGCAGTCCAAACCGCTGTCAGGACTCTTGGTGTTCTGGCGGTTGGGTCGTACCAAGCCACGGTCGTCTGCGCTGTAGCCGCAGCGACCGTCGGTGAAGCGAGGCGAGGAGCGCTGCCGCTGCAGGTGGCGGGAGTTCTTGTTCTGATGGTTGTTCATGTGGGGGTCCTGGGGGTACATCCTGCGCTGAGTATGTGGCGTCCCTGGCCTCCTGCCCTCTTCGTAGCGGCGCTGGCCCATGCTGTCCACGCAGTCGGACTCTTCCTCCGCCACCTCGGGGATGCTGTGGAGGCGCTTGCTGCGGAGCGACTTCTGCTTCACCACCTCCCTCTGGAGGTCCCAGCAGTCCCTCTCCTCGGCTAAGTCCTGGCGCTTGTAATACGCCTTCAGTCGTGACCAGGAGCAAAGTTCCACAATTTCACAGTTCAGTTAGTTCAATTCAAAAACGTTCAGTTTAGATTTTTGTGAGGAGGGTTGAAAAGTTTTTTCGGAGGTTTTAGAACAGGCAGGAAACAACACAGTATGTGAATAGAACAAATGGGGGGGAAAAGACAAAATAAAGACAGAATTAGTTAATTGTGGCAATGTAATAAAACATGCAGTCTCATTCCGTGAGGAGGAAAATGGCATGCTCTGAACAGGAATCGGTGTGGGCTCAAATGTGGAGAAGTAAAAATAATAAAACTGATAATCTGAGCGAGGCCCGGAAGTTAATGTGTAAAAAAGGGAATTTCGCTTGTGAGTAATTAGAAATATCCATCAAAATAGAAAGTGACTAACGGGTGAGGGATAAGTGAAAACACTATGATGATGAAATTAATTAATACATCTTCCAAAAAGGAAACTGATAATGACATAAAGCTGAGTGGGAGAATAAGCTACATAATGATACCATTTAGAATAAAGTGAAACATACTTCAATGCACTCACAGAAAAAAACTGCAGAAGTTAATTTGACAATTAATAAGTGACTATTTTCTTAACAATATCTAATGAAAAAGGTATATTATTATATAGTCACTATACATGTTTTAAAACAATAATGGTCTATGATAGAAGTATAAGGGGTGGATAATGTGCCACAGTATAACAATTAGATGGAGATGACATAAGAGATGCGGCATTAGTGTATTTAAAGAGTAAATACTCTAATAATTGTACAGATTTAACTCAAAATAACCGAGACAAAACGAAATCTGTGATGATTTTGTATTGGCTTTGTAATTCTACTAAAATACAGAGACTGAGTTTCTTAACATGATGGCATACATATGACACGTACTAACTGACAAACCAAATGAAGACAGGCTCATGTACAGATAATGTGAACATTCACATCGACAATAGACAAATTAAACATTAGAACATTACGAACATAAACAAACGTGAATATTTCCATTTAAGTACTCACTTAAATGAGATTCCCATATGCACTTGATATGCAGTGACCCTTCAATACAGTAAAGTATGTTAAAATGTGCACTTCAGAATCACATTCTAACACCTGACACTTGGAACCTTTGCTGCCGTATGAAGAGCTTAAAAATGCAAACCATAACTCAATATTATGCTTTATTAAGCTTTCCCCCTGATCATGCGGTACAGCTATGTATAAGGAGCCATTCCCATGAGCTTAGCCTTGATCGGCAGTGATGGAGGTGCGGGGTGTAGGAGCAAGCTGGTGGGTGGGGGGGTACCGGGCAAAGCCACGACGGGCCTGGTAGTAGAGCCTGTGAGAGAGAGCACTTCTGCAGGTGGAAAGACCCTCTCCCTCCCTAAAGCCCTGTCTCCCCCACTTCCTCCCCCTGGCCACTACAGAGAGAAGGTGTGCAATTTGTACCTTAAGAGTGTTGTGAGAGTTTATACTCCGCCTACGGCCCTCCTCCAGTTGCATCTCAGAGTAAAGGTCCTCCTCGTCCTCCTCCATGATGTCGGACAGGTCAGAGCCCCGGCTGCTCTCCGTGTGGTACTCCTCGCTGTGGCTGTAGTGTTGATGGTGGGGCTGATGGGAAAATGAAAGAGAGAAGTTAATAGAGTTGAAAAGGAGAATATTAAGTAACAAGTTTAACTTTTTAAATGTTATCCTTTTAGTTTGGTGGACTATTTGACAATAGTCACCATTACCAAGTAGATAAAGAAAGTGTCTACTACCAATAATGTCACCTTAAGACTTGGACAACTTTACACTCGTATTGGCTGGCAAACCCACTTAATTCCCTTTATCTATCAATACTGATAAATGTCTACAGCGATTATCAAATTCTGAATGTGGTGTGCTGTTGAAAACTCTTTGCACTGAAAGTGTAATTCAGTTTTTCATCACATTTTTAGATAAGATCACGTTAATGTTATACAGATGCAGGAACACTCATTAAGATGGGCTTTCATTTGATATGATGGGATGTGAATTGATTTAATTAGTACGTACTGATTGCTTTGTTCTTAAAAGAAAGCGATACACATTGTCTAAACACAAAGTACCTGTCTCCCCAACTCTGATCCTCTGAGGAATTCATCCACGGATGCTCCTCTTCTCCTCGCATGAGGAGAGTCGTAGCCATCCTCCTCCTCATCAGAGTTGACTGGATGCAAAGCGTTACCTCGCTCACTAAAGATATTCCTTTTCTCAACCTGATAACAGAGATGTTATTTTGATTTAAAAAAATTATTAAGTATTGTTACCTTCCTTCAATCCTTTTTTCCCCTTAATTTAAGTGAAAAAAAATGTGGTCATCTACATTTTTTCTTTTCGATTTTCTTTTTCTAATATAGCTCCATATCTTTTTCAAAATAAAATTAAACCAATACTTTTTAGGATCATGGTTATTGTATAATGAAATTCAGGCTGTGGTCCCTTTATGTTCAGAATGGAAAAAATAGGGGAAATAAGCATTATTACATAACCAAGCAAAAATCTTGGCTTATTTCTATCACATGTTGATATGAACACTTTATTAATATCCACTGCTACAATTGATATAATGAAAGCCCTACGCACCCGGTTGCCCTCGGCAAACACTCTCTGGGCAGCTTCCCGTGCCATGGCCTTGGCAATGGTGTTGGGGATGGGGGCTCCCTGAGGCTGTGGCAGGATCCTCTGAGGAGAGGGCGATCGCCGTGGCTGGAAGTGAGGCGGCTCCAGGTTGGGCCCCCGCATGGGGGGCAGCGGAGAGGGGGCTCGCTCCCAGGGCGGGGCTGTCCGCATTCCCACCTCATGCTCTTTGGTTTCTTGCTCTCTGGCACTTACTAACGGTTTGGACTTGGGCATGGGGTGGTGCGGGAAATGACGAGGGGGTTGGCAGACGGGCTGCGTGTGCGGCTGTGTGTGGGGCAGAGTGTGGGGCTGGGCTTGAGGCAAAGGCTGCACCTGGGGCTGAGGATGATTTGGGGGGTATGTTGATGGGTAAGGAGGATGGGACTGTGGGTGGGACATAGGATGGGACGGCGCAGTGGTCCGGTGGGAGAGGCGTGGTGAGCCCAAGAGATTGTTCGGGATGACGGCCACGGGCGAGTCCTGTGACTCTCCCTGTGTGGATAACGTCCTTACAATGATTTCCCTGGCCTCCAGACCCTGAATCCTGTTCAACTCCACAGTCACATAGTCAGCTGTGGGGTATAGGACTTCTGCTATCTGTATTCATAAAGAGAACCAGATTATCAAAGGCATTTCAGAATTTAGCATGCAGAAGCACTTACTGTGTTACCCTTCCATCATACAAACTACATGCTTTTCTAGCTCTCATACGTGTTGGCTGAAGAGAAATACCTGATCATTAAAAAAGCTGCATCTCAAAAAACTGTTTATGGTTACATTTGCACTTCCCTGATTTTGGTTTAAAATGTACCTGGACACTATCATGGTTGATAGACACATTTTTGCACACACACAAACAAAAGCTCCATGTGAAAGAGTGTCTTACTGACACATCATCATGGAGCCTGTTACAGCTCTCTTTTTTAAAGTGATATCTTAGGTGATGCTGGACCCTGGGGGGATTTCAGCATTATATCATTTCACCAGGAGATGGCAACAGAACACTACTCATAGAAGGCACCATTCAGAAAAGCAAAGGCTACCTTTTCTAAGAACTCTATGGCAGGATTTAGAGAAAATGTCTTGTTCTGACGCTTGGTACCTTTTGTCCCTTTGTGCATACAGCATAGCCGAGCACACTGGCCCCGTTGGAGGTTCCTGAAGACGTCAGAGGTGGCGGCTTCCATCTGACCTGCAGGATCCCCGGTGTCTGACCACACTGGACCTGCACCTCCTGGGGAGCAAGAGGGGGCCCTGGGGAGAACAACACACACACTGGGTAAGGAGAGAAAGAAAGACAGCTCAACAACCATCACTGCCATGATCAAAAAAAGAACGTACTGACCTCTGTACTGTGAACTTCCCAAAGTCAGAGTGGTACGAAATAAGGCCATTCTCATATTTGGGTTCTCACATCTAGCACCGTTTAAAGCCTAAACTCATAGTAATACCAAGAATTGTATTAAAAACATTAATTATAAATTATTCAAAAGGCATTCTTGGTTTTACTGATGATGATTGGTATGATATATATGTGCTATGTTACATCGAGCCAGCTGACAGTTGAATGTTTATTATATTCAAATACTTATTTGTAGAAGGATTCTGGAGGCTCGTCTCTGCATGTTTATGGTATGGATCATGTGATTCATTCATATACGTATTGGGTGCGGGTTACAGTGTTGGAAAGAGCCACGTTTGCCAACATGCAGCCATCAATGTATGTACAGCAATATCCTGTAGCCAGATTATCGCTGACAATATTCTATGGAGCAAAAACAAACAGTTTGCTATTTCCACAATCTGTCAGTGCTGACTGCATACTAGACAACATACCCATCTGTGCAGTGCTGCTGCCCCCCTGCAGTCAAACAGTGAGAAGGAGTGAGCAGATGCAGTCAGCAGTATCTCTGAACCCCAACGTGCAGCTGTTTGTGTGTCTGAGAATCTCCATCAACACAATCTTAATCACATTTCTACACTGGCTGTCAGCAGACCACACACACACACACACACACACACACACACACACACACACACACACACACACACACACACACACACACACACACACACACACACACACACACACACACACACACACACACACACACACACACACACACACACACAACACACACACACACACCACACACACACACACACACCACACACACACACACACACACACACACACACACACAATATTGGAACAGCAGCAGTGGTTGTTTGGAGATTTCATTTCCTCTTGTCATTATTAAACCACGCCTGTCACAAACAACAAGCTCTTCTGAGAACAGAAATGAGTGTAGTAATGCATATTTCAGTGATTATACTTTCATTAATTCTGGACACAAACGGTAGGCACTGAGTTTTTTTGACTATCACTAATATTTATAAAAAATGTTGTAACCTAAGAAGTCATACATGCTCAATGTGAAAGCCTCCAGACAATGTCCTCCTTATTGACAGCAGTCCTACACCAACGATTCTGATACTATTTCAGACGCCTCTAATTAACATGTTCAATAGATAGATCATTTAATGAACTCTCAGCATGTAGGCTCATCAGCTGCCAACAGACAGTGTCAATTCAATCTTCAGCCTCCCTCTCTCCCCTCTTTCTCTCTCAATACCTCTTTGTCCTCCCATTCTTTCAGTCCCTTTCAGGCTTTTTCTTTCCATTTCTGGACTTCTCTATTATTTCAGGTCTTTGACTAGTGTTTTGTGCGGCTTGCATCTTACCCTGATACCATAACAACAGGAGTTTTGGTCTTCTATTTATGTTGAATAAAGCAAAGTCAAATACAAAGCAACAGTATGACATATCTGAACCTTATTTGTTCTGTACCAACAATGGCTATCTACACTGTAGCTTTAGTTTTTCCACAAATAAAACCGAACAATACATGTAGCTTTTAAAGATGTTCTTTAGCTACACTGTCAGGCTGTGAAACCCAAGCTAGAGCTGGCAACAGCAAGGCATCACTGTGTCTCATGGGAGAAGAAATCCCAAAGATCTAAGCTCACTATTTACACTAATTTGGCTTCGAGAGGCACTGTTTTCAGTCTGCATTAAAGCTCCATTCAGCAAATTCTTCTTCCATGTTTCTCATTGCGCTTTCCTTTTTTTGTTTATCTACCATGCGTGTGTCTTATCGCATTAGTACACACACAAATCCTTGAGGGCAATCTAAAAGTGGCTGGGGAAAAATGAAAATGGCTGAGATGTTTGTCAGGTTTGTAAATGTAATAAGCTTGAAGCGTTTGGCTGAGTAAATAAAAAGATTGCTGTGTTGGATGTAAATTATCAGATGGCTTTCATTTTGAAATATCAGATGACTTTGAAACCGAATATTGGGCTACAAGAACAGCAATCAAATTATCGGGGGGGAGCAATGTTACCCTTTTATCATAAATACACCTTTCACACCATTCGTACATACCGACACCAACAAAACTAAGGCTTTGATACAGTCTGGAAGCATTTTGCTTCTAAAGGGCCAGGTATTAAAGAGAGATTAAAGTAGTTGCTTTACATTTTACATTTTCAAAAACCCTGCTGTGTATTAAAGAAGGCAGGTATAATGTCAATCATGCTCTCCATCTTACTTTTCTTTAATGGCATGCTATCATTTGCTAATTGGAACAAAACAAAAGGTAGAGCTGATAGGCTGATAGAAATGTCATTAGAGTTGGTCATAAACTGAAGTGTTGGACAAAGCAGGAGATAACCAAGACAACTAGTTATTGGAATTCATCCTGAGGGGGATATGAATGACTACCACATTTCATGGCAATGAATAAAATAGTGAAAACGTGATGGGTTTTATCGGAGTCATAAGAAAACCTCATATCTTTACCAAGGATATGCTCTGTATGTGTGCATATCTGCAATATTTCTGCCTTGAACAAATTAGTGGCCCAAACAAACAATCAATAGACAATGGCAATGCTAAAATCGTGCTAGCTAGGCTTAAAATATCCCAGTATATCTAGCTGCATTAGGGTTGTTTACTGAAGTGCTAATGTGAGTATTGTTTTGGAGGCTGACCTGCAGGCTGAGTGCAGAACTCCACAGAGATCTCCTTCTTGTCCCTTTGATCTAGGGTAAGCTGCCAAGGCACCTGATGCGGCTGCGCCACAACCTTCACCTTGTAAACGGTCATGGACTTCAGGTTGAAGAACTTGTACTTATAGCCCCCCGCCTTGACCATGTCGTACTCTGCACCATTGAGGAAGATGGTGTGGCTGTAGTTGCTGCTGCTTGGCATCCAAGAGAGCTCAGCAGAGACCTGCGTGATGTTGTCCACCCGCAGGTAGTAAGGTGCCACCACCACGTCCTTTCCCACGAGCAGAGTGCAGCGCAGCTCGTCCGACAGGCCCCGCTCAGTGATGGCCTGCACCGAGATACGGTATGTGTTGGTTTCCAGATTGAGCTTTTCAAGAAGAGACTTTGTCCTGCCCCCGTAGGGGACACTCATGCGCAACTCCTTATCCACCAAAACATTGTAGCCACTGATGGAGCCCCAGCCCGGTGGGACCACAGGAGGATCCCAGCTAAGAATCAAACTCTTGGCTAGTTGTTTAATCAGGTTGATGCGGCGGGGATAAGGCACAATGTCTTCACCGACCTCGTCAATGTTGACATCCAAGGTTCCTGTCCCGTTGCTAGAGGAGCCCAGGAGGTCCATGCCCAAGCTGCTGGTGCTTAAACAGTCTAGTCTGTCAGACAGCAGTCGGCTTATGCTCGTTCCCGCTCCTGTGCCGGCTTTTAGTCTCTGAGCCCCCAGGCTACTGTGGTTGAGGTAGCCAGGTTCTTTAGCCACTGTGTCCCTGTGTTTGACAAAGGCTGAATCCTCATCTGCGACAGACTCCACAAAGTTGGATGGGACGAGTCCCCGCTGTCCGTCCAGCAGCTCTCCTGAGAAAGAGACAGCAGAATTTTGGCATTCTGGTGGTATAAAGAACAAAAGATGAAATACCAAGACAGGTCAGACCTTCGTAAAAGCCATCCTCATCCATTGTCCCGTAAACGTAGAGGTACTTCCCTGCCACCAGGGGGAGCTCTGCCTCAGGATGCTCATTAGGCCCGTCATAAGGATTGTAACTACAGCGGAAAAAATAAATGAGCATTTTAACTGTAGGAGTTATATTTCACATTTTTTAGAAGAGTCTTTCAATGTTAACTACAACAATTTTAGAATATCAAAAAAATAATTGCCGAGTGCTGCTTTAAAATATGATGTGTGTTTCTATTTTTAATCTATGAATTCAGTTTTCTTTTACAAATATGAGAGAGCTGAGGATAGTGTGGGTTGAAAGCTCTGGTCCTGTTTCACATATTTGTGCTCTGAGAATTCCAATTATTTTTTGTGCTGACAGGTAATTTTCTGTAGAGATAGAAACACTGAATCATCTTTAAGACCACAGCCTAAGGCTCTGTGAGAGAAAGCAAATAATCCCAGCAAGATTTGGCCATGACTTGTCTACACTGAGCATCCACTTCACTTTTAAAAGGTAATGTAAGTAATGGTTTTTTGGCCACCTCTCTGGTTCATTATCAGCCTCTCGTAGGATGTTTAACTGTTTGGGGATTTTGTTATTTTAGCGTATTGTACTCTGAAGATGCTCTGAAACCGCTAAACTTATTTGTTTTACCTGTGTGTAAAGTGTTGTAAATAAAACACTGAATGGGTGGGGAATAAGTTAGTGTCTTACTTCACAGTTTATATGTATTATTATAACACTGGTTATTATATGGCTAACATGTGAGTTATTTTATGGTAAATTAATTGATGTTAAGAGAGGTAAACAAAAATAAGAGATGTATCCCCGCATAATGTCAAGAAGATACATGATTGAATGAACATATCTAAGGTAAAACAAGTTTCATTGTGAAACCATCTCCTCATCTCATTTGAATTATGTCATCAAAAAATAATAGTTGTGTGTGATACGTACCTGTAGCGAGCAATACACAGACGAACCTTCCCTGTGAACGTCGGTTTGGACCTGGTAGTTGAGCCGAGCTCTTTGTCCATCTAGAGAATCCAAAAAATACACAATTTTCAACACAACAACTATTTAAAGGACATTTTGTTTAAATTGTTTACCCCCTTTACTCACCTTGGGATTTTCCCCCCCCCCCAAAGTTGTTACAAACCACTGTCTATACTAAAGGAATACAAAAGTGAGCTTAAAGGTCCAACATTATTTGTAGCTCTTACATTTTGATTTGATTTGATTTGCCACTTGCCACTTGCTTAATACAGGATCTTATTAAACTGAGCTTACCAAATAAAGTATTTTGCAGCTCAGATGTCATGCAGAGTTTGGAGGAGTGCAATAAAGTGAAAGCCAGAAGTTATCCAAACAGACATGATCAGATACCTCAGAGAGGAAGGCCCGTGCTGGGCTGCTGACTCGACCTCGAGTGAGGAATGTTGGCTTGACAGAGAGGAGCTCCGGCTTCTCTCCACTGATCTGCAGCGGCCGAATGAACTCAGATATCAAAGATCTGCTTGTTGGAGCCTCATTGCCTGTGGAACAAACAACTTCTCCCATCAGATCTTCACTTCACAATGTATACATGTATTCACTTCTATCCGGTACCAAAAAGAGAAACGGAGAGTTTCAGAAAACAAAAGAGTAACCCGACATTTTAACATTGTTTAATGGTTAAACATTGTGCAAACAATCAAAAAAGTATTTTATAAATTAAAACTTGAACTGTTGATGAAACATTCTACTTTAAACATTTGTGTGTTAACAAAAACAAAGAGAACACAAGCTGTCAGCTAGAAGGTGGTGTTTTTTTTCATTAACAGTTTGTGTTGTCTTGATAGGACAAAAATCAATATTACTATTTAAAAGAATACATAATAATGTGGCTATATACACCCAGGGTGCAATTAGCATTGTTCACTGTAGTCACCAAGGTGCAAACAGCATCTGCCATAATTAAATGTTATAATTTATACCATGAGACATATCAACCTTGAAAAAAAAAACAAAGCATAACAACAACATGAAATCAATCGATCATTATTTTTTATATAGCCCAATATCACAAATTACATATTGGCCTCACTGGGTTTTACAAAGTGGATATAATAATAATGGAAGAAAGCCCATGTAGACAAACTGAGGAGGGATCAGTTTCCCAGGATGGACAGACATGCGTTAATAAACTACAATTGGGACATTGACATACCTTTTCCTATGGGGGCAGCCAGTCCGTTGAGGAGCTGTGAGAGGGATTTGGTGGGCGACCCAGGAGGAGACCCGCACACAGTTAAGGGTTCAGTGCTGAGGATATCAAACGTCCCGGCCTGGAGCCGGAACTTCTCCAGCTCTTTTGACAGGAGGTTGAACTGCTCACTCTGAGAGCGACATTTCTCCTCCAGCTCGCGGACTTTGGCCTGATTGTGGTGAGGGAGGAGAGTCATCAAGAGAGGAGTGAGAGAGACACAGACAGACAGAGAGAGAGAGACAGAAGAACAGACAGAGAGAGAGAGAGGGACCAACAGCAGAACAGACAGACAAGGGCAAGAAGAGAAAGGATGGGAACAAAGGAAAACAGAAGAAAAAAATAAGGAAACCACAGGATGCAGGACTAACATTTCTGCACACAGACATACTCGAGGACACACAGTACAGTAGCTACGTATCAGATGCTATACGTCTACTGTCTACACACAAATAGAACATGGAATAAGAATTACTCTAAGACTTTAACATGGATTGTTTATTACTGATAAAAACATCTTTAAACTACTTCTGAAAGTACACATGCACAACTACAGTTGATGCTTATTCTACTGGGGAAAAAAACGAAAATTAAAACGTCTTGCTTCAAGGCAGTATGCATGTCTTAAGAGCATGAGGCTGGTAATATTTCATAATTTGTCTTATTGTCAAGTAATCTCTTGAAAAAACCAAAACCAACATGAATGTTATCCTATTAACAAATATTGTTGCTGTGGCCTTACAGTATAACGTTTTCTCCACTGTGTCATAGAGCTCCAAAGGTTGTCATAAACAAATTACAAACACATCAATGAGCCAAATGTAATATGTTCCTTCATTATGACAAACATAGGCAGTATGCTTTATGTAAGTAAATCCCTCATACTGTACATTATCCTACCACTGTGAGGACTCATTAAAGAGTGTTAATCAGCAGCTGAAAATAATCCCCAGCAAATGCACTATTTACTTCTGTTTGAGCGACGTATGCTAACATCTCCAGTGCTCAGCTGTTTTAAGGAATCACCTTACCTTTGTACAAAGGATATATATATTTCTAATGATACAGAAGATTGGTTTCCATGTTGATTTACTTAATGGACTTTGGGCTTGAGTCACATTCAGGGTAGGGAAGTTAGTAAATATTAGTGTTGCCACATTCAGGGACTTTTAAGGCAATTTCCAGCCCAATAATCAAACATATACAGTAAGGACCCAAGGTGTTTGAGACATGGATCAAGGTTATTTACTGTTATAACACTGAGAGCTTTTATATCAAGAAGTAGCAGTGTTTACAGAAGCTAACAAACAATATAAAAATGCCTTAAATATGTGATCACTTCTTGTATGGGCTGTAGCAGGGATGGAAGGGTTTTTCTAGACTATGAGAACAATAATATATATATATATATATATATATATATATATATATACAACAATAGATTGTATTTGTTTAGTGATAGAAGCAAACACTTCTGGGAGAGTTTAGTAAAATGACCTATACTGTATATCTATTCTTGCAAAAAATATTTACATTTGAGCATGTTCAATAACCCATGGGCTCTTTAAACCTTGTTGCTGTCCCCTTAATTTCACACAAATTAAAAGGAATCTCCAAAAACTATGAAATAATGTTGGTAGTGGTCTTTTTACTGGATTATTTAACAATAACAAATATATTAAATAACACCAGCTGTATACTTTAAGAGCAGAAAACTTGAATGCACAAACTAACTGAACACACTTGTTTGGGCAGGTATAATGGAAATTCCAGGAGCTTTAGCATTATTTCTTAAATTGAATGATTGATCATCGAGAATCACTTCTCAACCTCAATCTGACAACAGTCTGAACCGCAGATGCTCAGGAAACTGAAGCTACCGTGGAATTTATTTCAACACTGCCCAACACACTGCCACGCCCCCTGCTGCTTCAGCGCTCTGTATGCCGCTCTGTTCAGTTCATTTCAAGCACACAGATTGTTGCTGGATATTACATGCTGTTAGAAGGCACACAACAAAAGGAATCCCTGCGTTTGTAAAATTGAATTAGTCAAATAGGAGGTATTAGTTTTAATTGCATCATACATTTCACAGTTGTATGGCAAGTAGAGTTTTTCAAAACATGCTGAATAATAGACATGCAATGATACAATGATAAAGCATCACATTCATCACTGGCAATGTGATCCTTTGACAACAAAACAGTCATATACACAAAGCAAAAATCTACTGTATGCAACATTACATCGATGTAATGATTAATACTTATATATTTTAAAAGAAAAACTGAAATATCTGCTATACACACTGCAGACTCTTTATTGCAATGTAATTAACCAGTTAACTAGATTTTCCACATTCATTTATTGAAGCCTGATATTTGTATTTGTTCACATCTAAAACACACACTTGTTAACACGTGTTTGATCTTATAAAGTTAAATTTGCACACCTCAACGTGTTGATGGGCTTTGATTATGTGGGATTGAGGTCGGTCAGTGAGGCCCCAGGCATTCGTCTTTAATTGAAGTCGATCCATATTCTGAATCTTTTCATCAATTGTTAAGCGAGTGTTGCTGAATTTTTCTTTATGATCAAGTCAGAAAGACCTCCAGTTTATGCTGTCAGTCATGTTCCAGACTTTCAAAAAGCTCTCCACTTGTGAGTTTGCTTTGATGGGAAATGTGAAACAGAGCTGAGTGGGTAGTAAAGCCCAAGAAAAGAAGCAGCCCTGAATATTTCTGAAAACCAAAAAGCAAAGAGCACACATCAGATTATTTCTGAACTGATGTATGCTTTAAGTTACCTCTTCTCTTTTAAGTACCACTTGCATATTTATCGTGTTTATCATCAATACAAAACTTAAATAGATGGATAATTTTGTTTGTAATGTGGTGTTACATCACCATAGCTCCAGGGCTAAAGTAAACATGGGGGTACAGTAGACCCTTATTGATTACACTGGGAAAGGTGTAAGAAAAGATCAAGTAAATAAATAAAAACAATTCTGAAATACCTGCATGCTGTCCAAGTGGTTCTGTATAAGCATAAACACACACCCATTCAGTAAAAAGAGATGTTGGAAGGAAATAAAGCACAATTACACATTTGATCACTCATACATATCTTGAAATGACTGTCTGCAATGCACTCACACATACTGTACACATCACCTTATTACATTACTTTTAGATTGTAGGTGAATTAACAGATATATATTGGCAGACTGTGACCTTTATTCTTTACATTTCTGAAAAACAGACTATTTACACAACTCTGCTACCTGCCTTACAAGTCAGTTTAATAATGTTGTAAAAATAAATATATACACTCAGCCAAGGATTCATATCTTAAAATATGAGAAGTAAAAATAAGAGAATAAAAGGTTAAGGTAGAGAGGTGAATAAGAGCAGGAAATGGCTCTAGGTATACACAGGTCTGTCCCGGGGCTGACTAGTCCCTCACCCTCCAGCAGAAACCACATAAACACACACAGTCCCCCCCCCCCCCCGAGAGTCCAGACGCTCACCTCTAACAGATGGACAGCGCCTTGATGTTCCTTTTTTGCCTCAACCTGAGCCTGGGAAATACAGGGTGCACTGTTTCAGTTCACTTTGACTTATATTGCAGTTAAGTTTCAGTTTAAAACACCAATGAAAAGCCCTTTACATTCATTGGTGTTCAGAGTGAAAACGGTTTGAAAGAAAGCCACCATTTATGTCGACACTTTGCAAGGCCAAGATAAAACCTTTTCCAACAGTGCCTTATATCTGAGGGTGACTAACGTAGCCACGACCAACAGAAGAATTGGTGGATTTTTTTGCACCGTTTTCACCATTTTATATTTTATGTTTTTTTTTAAAGTTTACTTAATTGTCAAAACAGTGAGCTATTCAACATAAAACAGTTTTGTGCATGCAAATAAGTGCATATAATCAAGGAAGCATTTGAAAGTCAGTTTACTCAACACGTTCTCACTCCCATCCCGTCACATATTGACGGACGGCCAGGGCCCCTCCCCGTCACTATTACGTACAGGGTACCCCTTGGAAGTCAGGCTTCTACGGGCAGGGCGTCCCATAGACCTTCATTGCGGACAGCGGACCCCTTGACCGTCAGGCTTCTACGGGCAGGGCGTCCCATAGACCTTCATAGACCACGTGATCAACAACAATGGCCGACCTTCGTGTTATTCTCGGTGGAAAATGCCTATTTTAAGGTTCATTTGGCCATTAAAATGCGTTTTGATGTCATTTTATGCGATAAATATGAGTTGTTATTTCTGATTATTTGTGCAGTAGATGTACATGATGTTTAGTTTGCTAGTTATGACCAAGATTACTTCATGAATGTGTACACATTCATGGTTGCTAAGGTGGTTGCTATGGACGCTGCAACAGCTCCCAGACCAGGTGATCAACAACAATGGCCGACCTTCGTGTTATTCTCGGTGGAAAATGCCTATTTTAAGGTTCATTTGGCCATTAAAATGCGTTTTGATGTCATTTTATGCGAGTAATAGGAGTTTTTATTTCTGATTATTTGTGCAGTACATGTACATGATGTTTAGTTAGCTAGTTATGACGAAGATTACTTAATGAATGTGTACACATTCATGGTTGCTAACGTTTTTTTTGGTGGAAATGTGTTTTTTCACAGCAAAGTCACCCTCTGTACTTGGACTTATTGGGAGAATCTAAAGGCAAGAACATACCAAATATTCATTTAGGTCTTTATTTTAGACCTTTAGTGTTGCTGTCTGTGAGGAAAATAAATGGGGCTCAGAGCCTCAGGATACTGAAATCTGTATTTTTTAAATCTTTTTTTCCTTCTAATTTGTTATTCTTTTCAAAATAACACACTGTTATTTACTCACCAATAACACACAATTATCCTTGCTTTTATTTATTGGTTTAATTCCATAATCTCTGGCTTTTTTGGCGTCCGTCAGGAACTGAATTTCAAAATAAAAATAACCGGAAACAGACGTAGGCATTTCGAGCGATTACCCAAGATCCTCAGCTATGGTTTAAGCTCGCTGATTGGATGTTTTAGCCGCAATGCATGCTGGGATTTGGTGTTTATATTATATGAAATCCGGAAAACCTTTTAAAAGAATAAAATAATACTTAATTCCGAGTGCTCTTCCTTTTCTCTTTGAAAGTCATCACATAACGGCATTGTAATACACGGTTAGGCTGCATTACATATTACAGATCTGCCGTAGTTCTTTATTTATAGAGCCCTGATGAGAAGACCTTTGGAAAAACTGAAGAAATGCCGCCGAAACTGAATACTTGACGTGGATCATAAATATATCAACAATTAAACAACATCTTCAATTTCTCTTCACACAATACGTCTCCTTGCAGTATCAACACTAATTCGGCTGACTTTTACATTTGATCTAATTCATAGATGAGTTATATTTACACCATAACGGTGCACAGCTGATATAAAAGGACTTGTAGTTTTTAAAGATATTACTGATTTGAATTGAATTGAATTTTGAATGTAAGAATGTAAATACTGAGTCTGAAATAGTATAGCAATATGCTGTAAAATTATGTGAAAGCATGAATAAAACTACACATCTTCAGATGTTGTACATAAGTGTCCTACACTAATAATACAAAGTTATTATGGCTGTGTGTACCTTGTGTGCACCGCCTAGTGGTTAAAGCACGTTATTGAATTATTGTTTTTATGTGTTATATTTGATTAAAAGAATATTAAGAGTACATACTTTCATAGGGGGAAAGTAGAAGGTCTGTGATAGAAATATAGAATATAAAAAATCCAGAAGATACTATAAGTGATCTCTATACAGTTTAGTGCAGGATGTACAAAGATATTAATAAGAGGAGGTGCAAAACAGAAAAACGAATTAACCTTTATTTAAACATTAAATAACAGATTAAGGTCTTCTTTTAAATAAGAAAAAAACTTTGGGGGTATCTATCTACAGATAAATATTAAGCCTGACAAAGTACTTAACGTCTAATATATTGCTTTCCTGCAATGTTAACTATGTTGAAGCACTTATTTTAACTGATATTATACATATGGATTATACTCTTGTAATGCACTGTTGAGGAACCTGTGACCCAAGTTTTTCATTCATTGCATAACTACACCGTAGTTGTGTATGTGATATGTCAATAAACCTTTGAAAATCTTGAAAGGGATGTGCAAAATAGCCATAATATACAGTCTTTAATCAACTATTAGTAGAGAATAACGAGTAATGAATATACTTTATTACTCGTTTCCATTCATGTCAATTGCAGATACATGTTTAGTCTTCTCAAGCACCAACTATCAAATATCTCTCCTGATTGTTGGCACTTGACAATCACCTTACCTGAATTTTACTCAGGTGTAACTAAAGTCTGATTTAAGGGTTGTTTATATTTCACATCATTAATCAGAATCTGCAAAGTAACTCAAATAAGTGTAGTGGAGTAAAAATACCAGGTTAACCTCTGAATTGTAGTGGAGTAGAATTACAAAGTAACAATGAGCTGTCATGTGGGTATATATTAATGCTATATATTAATGCTGCGCATTATGTACAGCGATTTTCACCCATGTATTAATTATATGTTTTACATTTGATAACACCAATGTGTTTAATACTGGCAACTTCTAATTGTGGGAAAAACGAAAACGTTCAGTAGAGACGTCCCATAGAACATTTTGCGAAACACAATAGTGTAGTGTGAAGTAGTTATGGGGGGGCGTTCGATTCCAGTTTTGGATAGTCTGGCGTGGTTTCGTTCCATTTCAAACAGCTGTTTGACGCTTGGTGTAACCTTGGCCACTGCCACTCCAACATCCAATCCCAGACCTTGAAGATGAATCACGGGGACTGTAGTCCTAAACGATAGCTGGGGATTATGGGTAGTGTAGTGTCTTCGGCCATCCTAAACTCAAAAATGTTGACAATCGCAATGATGCTCGAAATGTCCCTTATAGGCAGCGACGTGCAGTCAGGGGAGGCAGAGCCTCACCTGTCATACTCATAGACTGGCCATACTACAATGTAACGGAAAAACAACTAAAGAAAAACTAAATAGTAATAATAATAAAATGTCTCCACTGATCTGTGTTGTAAATGTGATTTCTGTATGATTCCAATCGCTTTTTATAGTCAAAATCAGCAAATTTGCCAAGCTCCGCTACAACTACATGGGAGCGATGAGGAGTGAGGCAGGGACGAGCTCTGCCTCACGTAAGCCCACAGTAACTTGCTGGAGCGCGGGCACTAATTTAGCGCGGGCACTTATTTTGTGAGCACGCTCAAGCCAGTTACTGTGTGGTAAGGTGAGGCACAGATGAGCTCTGCCTCACCTCAAAATGCGTCACCTCACAGAAACTGGATGGAAAGCGGGCCCTAAGCGCATGCCTGTTACCATCTCACTGTAGGTCACCAATGTAATGTTTGTAGATCCCTTTATTACATTTATCCTCGCCATCCATAGTCTCTAAATAACTTATTTCACGTATATATGATATTTAGGCTCGCCGTACAACGGCAATGAAAAAAGCACCAGGGGAGGCAGCCATAACCTCTGCCGCACTGAAGGGGGCGCACGTGAGCCCACAGGTCCTTGTTGCTACTGTTATTCTACGCAGAGACGGTATAGACGCGAACAACAAACTAGACTTTTGAAACTAGAGGAAGATAAGGAGGACTTTTACAAAAAAGTAATAGAGATTGTTGTCCAGAAGGATAGCATGGACTTCATCTTCAAGTCAAGGTAAGACCACATTGGTTATTTTTATTTTGAAATTCAGTTCCTGACGGACGCCAAAAAAGCCCGAGATTATGGAATTAAACCAATAAATAAAAGCAAGGATAATTGTGTGTTATTGGTGAGTAAATAACAGTGTGTTATTTTGAAAAGAATAACAAATTAGAAGGAAAAAAAGATTTGAAAAATACAGATTTCAGTATCCTGACAGACGGCAACACTAAAGGTCTAAAATAAAGACCTAAATGAATATTTGGTATGTTCTTGCCTTTAGATTCTCCCAATAAGTCCAAGTACAGAGGGTGACTTTGCAGTGAAAAAACACATTAAACGTTAGCAACCATGAATGTGTACACATTCATGAAGTAATCTTCGTCATAACTAGCAAACTAAACATCATGTACATGTACTGCACAAATAATCAGAAATAAAAACTCATATTACTCGCATAAAATGACATCAAAACGCATTTTAATGGCCAAATGAACCTTAAAATAGGCATTTTCCACCGAGAATAACACGAAGGTCGGCCATTGTTGTTGATCACCTGGTCTGGGAGCTGTTGCAGCGTCCATAGCAACCACCTTAGTAATCTTCGTCATAACTAGCAAACTAAACATCATGTACATCTGTACTGCACAAATAATCAGAAATAACAACTCATATTAATCGCATAAAATGACATCAAAACGCATTTTAATGGCCAAATGAAACTTAAAATAGGCATTTCCCACCGAGAATAACACGAAGGTCGGCCATTGTTGTTGATCACGTGGTCTATGAAGGTCTATGGGACGCCCTGCCCCTAGAAGCCTGACGGTCAAAGGGTCCGCTGTCCGCAATGAAGGCCTATGGGACGCCCTGCCCGTAGAAGTCTGACTTCCAAGGGGTACCCTGTACGTAATAGAGTGACGGGGAGGGGCCCTGACCGGCCGTCAATATGTGACGGGATGGGAGTGAGAACGTGTTGGTTTACTACACTTACCTGTGAGCACCACTTGCCTGAGAGCATCACAACCAAAGATCTCAAACTAGAAGTATTTACATCCAACGTCCAACGTCAACAAATAAATATCTTATTTGGGTTTTAACAAACCTAGAAATTATTTCCTTTTCTATAAAGGGTCCTTCTCCGGCTATAACCACGGTTATAACCCTAGCTATAAAGCTGAAACTGGCTTTTTTCTTTTCTTTGACCTTTACATTTAGAGAAGTATGCTTATTTGCTCGAGATTGACACCACTGTCATGTCTTTAAAACATAAATCTACAATAAGCAACTGTTGAGTCCAGCCCTACACAAAGACTGCTATCGGGGAAAAGAGTATCTGTCCAAAGTGACCAAATATCCACTTAACAGCACCATTTAACCTCACTTACATTGTATATATTATTTGTTTATTAGTACTAACAACAACAACAAAAGTTTAAAAGCAACAACTCATCCTTTTTTTGGACAGGTTATTTGCCAGGGTTTGCTTTGATTAGTTAAGAGGCAAGTAGCAGAGACTTCTGGAAGTTGCTGGTGCCAGCCAAGAAAAAGCCTGACTCATATCACGGCCAACTGTCAACATGTCAGTAAAGGTCCAGCAGCACTGCTTCCATAATCTACACGGGGAAAGCTGTCATTCTCCAGGAATACAGAGTGTTCAGGACCCCCACTAAGAAGAACCAAGGTCATATGAGCTTCAGACCCTTCATCCAATGCGAACTATCATAACATTGTAAATGTATTTGTGGCTTTATTAAATATTCTGCTTCAATTGAATGTGTCATCCTGGCTATTAATTCTCTTTATAAGATGATTAACTACGGCACATGGTTATTTAAACAATGCCAGGGTGTGTGTTTGAATGGTTGTTTAAGTTGTATCACAGAAAAATGACCTAGACGGAGTCTCCGTCGAAACAAACATAATTTCCAACAATTGTTAAATTATGTTCCATAAATAATAAATGAAGGAGGCTTGTGCATTCAAGAGGAATGAGGTTTGGGTATTATAGAACCATTGAACTGCATAGAAACACAACATAATACATGCCATTTTTCTTATGGGAACTAGAAACATCTGTTGAGAAAAACAAGTGTTCCACATGAATATGAGAGCATCTGTGTACTTTACCATTTCATAAATCTACTTTGCAGGCAATTAATTTAGGAGAATACAGAGAGCAGCCAGTGTCTGAAGGAAGATAAGGCAGTAATGAGCTTCTGTTAATGAGAGAAAAAAAGCTGAGAACTCTGCCTGTGAAAGGCTGACTGTGAAGTTAGAGCAACACTGCAGCAACAGCAACACTGGGGCACACAAACTGTTTCTAGAAAAAGCTATGGTGACAATTCCTATCATGTTCACACTATCAGCCATCTCAGCCATTGCTGGGCTTGCTTTGACATTAGAGTCAGCTTCAGTGCACAGAGGAGGAAGCCCGACCATCAAATGGCCTGGGCCAGCATTTTTCCTTTAAGCAAGCCTCTAAAAAGTGTCATATCTACTTTGGGTTTTGAATGTCTGATTTGCTTGCTCGTAACAAACAAGAGGAGTGCTTCTCAAATGTTGAGCACTCAGGGTTTGGAGAGTGATAGACAGCTGAAGGGTGGGGATAAGAGGATGCACTGGGAGAGCTCTCGTGGTGAAAATGTTGAGAGGTGAGTGCTACAGCCTATAGGGAGTTTCTCTCTTTGCTCTGCTCTTCATAATACAGCCTTTGAGTTGACTTTCACCTTTGTTGGACTGTACCGCAGCTCAACAAAAAGCTCTTTGACTTGTGACCCAAACAAGAAAGCCCAAACCTCTGGTGCTGTGAGTGATTAGTAACCTGAGCTCCCTTACCTTCTGAAGAACTTCAATCTCCTGCTGCTTTGCATTGAGTACAGCCAAGGCCTGCTCATGCTCCAACTCTAGCTGCTGCCTCCGCTCTGCAGCCTCGCGCATATGCTGTCCGCAGGGGGTGCAGGGGTGGAGAGCCAGGAGGGGGGGGGGTTAGAGGAGGGGGGTAGAGAGGGCTGGTGTTAGTGGAGCTAAAAATCCAACAACACTGACCCAACACAAAATGCATCTCAAGTCTTCAACTCCACAATAAGAGACAACACAGGTGTTACACACACATCACACATACAGAGGCTGTTAACAGTGTAGTGACCTTTAAACCCTCAAAACAAGGAAAGACATAAACTATGCCACAGCAAGTGTCATGTGAGGACAGTTTATGTTCCATGATCTGCGAGAGAGATCTTTTTTTGCACAAAAGGTGCCTATGGACAAGGACTAGAAATGCTTTGCTGTGTGAACAAAAAAAACATACATCAATCCACAGTCAGGTTTGCTGCCCCCTTTAGGTAACACGATACCTGTGACAAGTCAGGTTACTGTTTTAAAAGCTGTCCTCAGCGATGTGGTCTTCACATGATCAATACAGGGTTTCACGTTACATGAAAAGGGTGAGCAAACTCCGTAGCGTGCTCGTACTCGTCTGTGGTCATCCAGGACAACAAAAGAAGCCATACAAGGACTGAATGCTCTTCATAACACAATGTGCCTGTGTCATCCAGTGTCATCACTGCTCCCACTACTATGTGAATACATTGTGACATTGTCAGGTGAGAAAAGCAAATGACATTTTCATGCCACTATAAATTAAGGTTTAAGATGGTAATTTCATCAAACTTGTGGGTGACATTATCATCATGAAGGGTGACCCAGTCTCCCTTTATCTCCTTTTACAACCCCTCCCGTCATCATACAGCCAAACTCCTTGTCCTGCCTTATGCAAAAAAATCACATTCAACGGTGCTGTGGTCATATAGCCAGGTGACCATTCGTATGTCTTGTATGCAGCACACGGATAAAGTGACAGATAAGCACAGCCACTGAGGTGGACAAAAGCATTCAGAATGGGATTGAATAGGACTACTTCCTAACAGATGGACGTAGCAATGATACCTTATAAATCTAGCAGGGGGAGAAGGGGAGGTGGGGAGGGAGAGTAGGATGACATGAAAGGGTGGAATAGGAAAGGAAAGACGGGGGGGGCGGACTGCTCCAAGCTTCTACTCTTTCAGAGCTCCTGGTTAGACATCCCAACACGACACTGGAAGGCAACAGAGATGTCAGGGACATTAGACAGTAAAGCGGAAGATAACCAGATGGAGGCAGAGTAGCACAGGTAGGAGAAGAGGTACGGGCAAAAGGGTTAGGCTCCATTAAAGAAAAACCTGAATAAGAATCCCGGGATGAACGGAGAACCAGAACTAAGAGATGGTGCGGTCAGGTCTACCCTTGGAGCTGGCTTTCTCACCTTGAGCACCTGCTCTAGGTTCTCCAGTTTGCCTTGGAGCTGGTTCCTCTCCCACAGGGCTAAATCTCTCTCCTGCGTCACAGAACCAAGGGTCTCTTTGAGCTGGGCATACTCAGACTTCACCTGTGCAGACAGAACAAGCAAGGAGCAGAGACACTGAGTTTGAGAGTGTAGCTGTACCGTTTACGCTGATTTTAGCCTTTTAAGGAATACTCGCAGGTTCATGCTTTTCTTTGTAGATATAGGAGAGGTCTTTCTCCTGTTCCATTCCTGGTTATCCCGTTTTCTTTTACAAAACTAACATTTAATAGAGTGGCGATGTCCCTCCCCTTCCGGTGGACCTCCATGAGACCTTATTTTGGAAAAATTATGTATTGAAGTCAATGGAGAGAGAAAGATTATCTTTCGATCCCGTTTGAATTGTGCCACGAATTACACATATGATGTTTGTCAATTTAAAAGATAATTTTGCAAGTCAAAACAATTTGTCGTAAAACTGTGAAGTAACACATTTGTTTGTGTGAAACGCTCAATTATCTACATCTCTGGTCTTGCAGAACAACACACGTCACCAAGATGGCCGTCACTACTGTCTTGTCAACAACACGATTGACTACCCTCACTATCACCACAATGAAACACGTCCAGAAGAATGTCATGCAAAGTTGCCTGGCTGCTTTCCTTTGATTCTCTCTGAACTGCCTGGTATTTTTAATGTCAACCATTTGTGCAGATAGCATGAAGTAGAAAAGATTGGCGATTGCCGATGCTAGCGTTAGCATTTCTCCCCCGGGCTTAAATTGTGTATTATAGAATGATCACAGCGGTGACAGTACTCTTCAAAGGGTTCACGAAATATGACTACTACTCTTACTGTTTAACATTTTGGGTTACTTAATGTTACTTCATATTAAGGCTAATAAAAATGACATGGCTGTAATGCTAACTAACGTGCTAGCTACTAGCTAGGTAGCTAACTTGATCCAGCCACTCCTGGTCCTTTCATCAGACGGGAAGCGAAAGAACGAGCAAGACCCATTGCTGGTATGATAACAACCTGGTACTAAGCACACAGGCATCTTGTTAAAGTTATCTTATCTTAGCCAGCGCCATATAGATAGATTATATCTATATGTCGCTGATTTTAGCTATCTCTTACTGGAGGAAAACAATTGTGACATCACTCTGGGATTTGTAGTCTTTCTAGTTACGTATATTTCAACAGTTTTACGATAAACTGTGACTTTTTTGACATGGAAATTATTTTTTAAGATTGATAAACATCATATGTGTAATTCATGGCACAATTCAAACGGGATCGGAAGATTCTTTCACACACAGTGACGTCACGAGCTACCCACAATGCAACGCGTGCCATATATAAATATTTTTCTGGAGGTGCAAAAATCCTGGAGGTGCCAATATAAACAGCTAGCTAACGTACCAGGCAGAGCGCACTAGGTTTTTTTTCTGAATTAACGACCGAAGAAATCGCTGCATGTCTTCAGATTACATCTCTGGACTTGAGGGGTGTGCTCTAGGTCGTTACCAGCGTAAACTAGAGCTGTGTGGGTTGTCGGATTGCCCTTACAATGTATGGAATTACGACCCTCGAAAGTGGCCTTCGGTTGATTTTGGCAGCATCTACGTCTATCTTCTGGAAACACCAGGTGAATACCCCACTTGTCACAATAATATTATCATGCCAATGCATATATGTGGGTATTTTAGAGTTGACTATATTGATTAAGGCAATAGACTATGATATTCTGCTTGCACCTCGTGTGAAATGGCGGATACCGGAAGTACGGTGTCGCCCTCGGCCCAAAACCCGTATGTGTGTGTGAAAGAATAAGTTTTCTCCCTTGACTTCAATACATTATTTTTCCGAAATAAGGTCCCATGGACCGGAAGTAGATGGGGGTGACTTCGCCACTCTATAGATTCGAATCTGGAAATGGTCAGATATTGGATTCGCATTTCAACAGTGAATAGAATGCATCAATGGACAATGTTTGCATTTACTCCTCTCCATTCTTGGAAACACCAACGTTTATAAATCCTGAACAGGCTTTTACTGCATGGACTATTTAAAAAGGTACCCTGTGGAGTTTTCTTCTAAATAATTTTTGTTTAAAGTCTGAATGTAAACACTGTGTACATCCTTTAGGATAACACCTTTTTGCATGACTCTCTTTCCACATAAAATCTTTTCACCTGAACCCGCCATGTTTACATCCATTCATTAAATCAGCATAGGAGTGTGAAACCATGAGCAGGAATCTACTTCTTCTCCCATGTACTCAAAAAACAAACAAAATAGGGGCCTGATTGTCAAACATTGTAACTAGTGGTGATAAATAGCACAGGGTACCTTTAAAGGTGTCTCAAAAAGTTTACCATTACCTAAACATACCATGTTGGCAATGATAAACCCATATCAACAGCTTGACATCACACGTCATTGCAGACTATAATAAGTGTATTCACAACAGGGTGGTGGTAGGCAAAAGCCAATGTAGCAAGTGCTGATTAACACTAAGGAACTAAAGATAGAGGGGTGTTACAGAGTCATCCTTTCAAATAATTAAATACTAATTATATTGTGGTTTATATAACACCATAAGTCAACAACCAGGTGTTTTGTATTATTAAATAGCTGTAAAAAATATAGGTAGATTGAGACTCAACAACAGTATCCAAGCACTAGCGCAGTGGCTCATTAACAGTTTGCCAATTGTTTCCTTTTTTCTTACACCCTTCAGGATAATCCAATTCAAAAACACAACTGCTCCGAACTGAATAGAAAATCAGAACCAGGGCTGTTTCATCAAATATGAACAAAAACTGAATACAATACGCTGCCTAGATGAACTGTTGGAATGAATTCGATTGAACCGCTGTTCCTATTTTCGTGGTAGTCACTTTTGATTTCAAGCACTTTGCTGTAAAGAACAATTTGATTTCATGCCACTAAAGCGTTCATAGCATTTAAAACAGACATAAACTGTTGTAACCTGACGTGGGGAATGTCTGGTTTCGGTGATAAGCCTTTAAATATTATAATAATGCAATAGTAACACCATTCACTGACTCCCACGGCTGTAGACCAAAACATTCATACATTATTCAATCTTTATTGTTAACCAAGCACCAAGCATTCAATTGACTGAAACAATTGCACATTAAATTAAAAATATATAGCACTTCAACACGTATGAGGTCTGCGCTGCCATTATGAACAATATACAAAATGTGACTCTTTCTATGTCTACATATTCTCTATAATCCATCTCCCACACAGTTGTATTGTTACTTAAGAGGCAGGATTTTTCAATCAGCTTTTTAAAGGCCCCTAATCGTCAGCAAGATGACTGGTTCCTGCAGCTGTAATGTGGCAAAGCCGCTTCCACAGAGCAGCCATGAATGACTAATGATTCCTTGAGGAGGGCGTTTCAACAAACACCAGCAAAGCAAAACACAAACAGAAAGCAGTGAGTCTGCCTCTGAAGCGCCCGCCTCCTCACAGCAAAAACTATCCGCATGGATAGGAGCGCCTGTCAGAACTAATGTAGACGGATCGAACGACACTATATTGGATTCAGCAGAAACAGGTCAATAGTCTATTATGGATAGAGGGCGGTGCCGCTTGTAGCCCCTCCCACTTAAATCAGAGACGACAGGGATCAGAACACGGGGATGTAAGTGAGGGCTAATATCCGCACCGCCCTGCAAAAAGCGGCTCTCATATCCGTCAGTGTGATAACATTTCAGGCTAGCTGCTCCAGGAGCCGCCCTGGTCCTGATGACACGTCAATACACCAGCATCCCACCCTTCTTCACCCCAACAGCAACTACCTGCCAATCAGCTCCGTTAGGAAAATTGCCTTCCTGTCCATAGAGGGAGGCGTGGTGCTCTTTGTTTGTTGATCTGCTCTAACTTTGTGTTATCAGCTCTGAAGTCTTTTGAGGTCCGGGGTCTAAGAGGAAGGTGATGGTGTTTTAATAGAATAGGAGGCTTGTTGCTTTCATTTATATGCTTAGAATAGGAAAAATCGCTCAATCTATGTAGAATCCTAAGGCGGTTTTGGCTTACAGTGTGACCCAGAAAGCATCAGACATCATCTGATAGAGTCTTAATGTAAAGACCCCAGAGGTCGAGGCCTATGAAGGATTGATACCGAGTGCAGTCATGCCAGCAGCTCTGTGGGGCTTGTGGGCAAAACTGAGAGCATGCTAACATGGTGATGTTTTTCTATGTCAAATGTGTACCCCCTTTGTTTAGCGTCTTAGCATGCTATTGCTAATTAGCACCAAACACGAATTACAGCTAGGGCTGATAGGAGTGTCATTCGTTTCGCAAGTATTTATGGAGAAAAAGTCAACTTTGACCCGATAGTGGCGCTATATGAAACATTAAGGGATAAACAAAGCTACCGCATTTAATCCTCATTGCAATATGAATGCCTTTACCACAATGGTTGGCATCTGTCTAATAGCTGTCACTACAGTACATGTCACTCAAAATCTCTTTGCTGTGCTTAAGGAGTATTTAGGGGATCACAGAAATCATTAGTATCCTCTCCCCTGGGAACCATGAATGTCTGTACCAAAACAAATAGGGCAGGTGCTGAACTGAAGGTGAGCTGAAAACGAAAAACAAATAAATAGCTCATACACTGCAAGGCTCCGATGTTCACACACACACACACCACACACACACACACACACACACACACACACACACACACACACACCACACACACACACACACACACACACACACACAACACACACACACACACCACACACACACAACACACACACACACACACACACACACACAACACACACACACTGCATGTGCAGTTGTGATGGGATAATGATATCTACTCTAGGTGCAATTAAAACTAAAGTCCTGAAGTCTGAATGATTTTGTTTTGTTTTACAAACATACACAAAAACGTATTCAATAGTTTTTTATGTACAGTTGTAGGTATATAGGCAGATATATTTCACTAACGTAAAAACAATCGTCCTCTATCAAGCCATACTGCCAGGATAGTGAAACATGTTTTCCGTCAGATCAAAGGACATATACATGCTAAAAATCATTATGAGTGTAACTGGAGACGCTCCAAGATGTACATCGTCAAACATTTCAAAACCGAGACCTTTTCATCTCTTACCTTCTCATACTCAGATGTCTTGTTGCTACTGTTGAACAAATGGAGGTTCAAGTGTTTGTTCTCATGGAGGAAATCTTGAAGCTCATTCTCCTAGACAAAAGAGGCATAAAGAAAATAAACAGTGTTTAGAAACCAAGAAGTCCCCATTAGATTGGACCAGAGCGCAGCACTCAGACCCAGCATGTTGTTAGCAATAGCCCATGCATAATGTATCTTAGGAGACTGCTCAATGTTCTCTATGTTGTAGAAGCTGCCATTTAAGCCACAGTGAAACGATAATAAGTGTTACAAATGTAATAAAACTTGATTGTATCTTGATGTATTCAACATGCTGGAATAGTTGCAACAGGAAACCATGAAAAGGTTTGTCTTGAAGCTCTTAGTTAGTGGATGAAAATCAAAGAGCTCCCTTTCACCACACTGAGGGTAAAAATAAAATCCCTTCATTGCAGAGGAGTAAAACTGAATTACATTCAATCAACAGTCGTGAGGTGTACTGTGGATGCAATTTGCAATGTCAACTGGAGAGTTCTCTGAGATGTGCAATCCACTGCAGCTACAACAGCATGTAGGCCAAGTGTTGTTCTTGTCGGGAGCTAAGAAACCTACTGGCTCATGCATGATACATTTACTGTAAATACAGTGTTCCTAATGGCTAGTGATGGTGAGCCTGCTCCTTCCCCCTCATGTTTTAGTTATGAGGAATGTTTCAGAGGGAGAATGGATACAGCACAGAGTAAAGATTTAGAAAAGAAATGTATGCAAGGGAACACATGTTAACAGATTAGAAAATGTTGTGGTGATGTTTATAAAACATTTTAAAATGAGCATGTGTTGTTTGCTAAATGCAGACAAAACAATCAGGTGCTTGTCAGGGCTATAAGTATTTCTCACAGAATACATTAGTCACATCACAGGAGAAAATCATAAATGAAATGATGGCTGATTTACATTATCTGCTTCCTTTTTGCCCCGGCCACACGAGGACGAAAACGGTCGTTTGCGTTACTGTTTAGTGTCATATAGACCGTTCGGCCACACGAGGACGACCGCATACGGCACTAAACGACTGCGGAAATGATAACGGGTCCCAAGGTGGATAGAACGGCATACGCAGCGCTCTGGGGGGTCCAACGGCTCTGTGTGTAAGCCCTATACGATCATTTTCTGATAATGATGAGGCAATAGCCCCGCCTCTCCCCACCTCTGCTGCTCACCCCCGCGTCAAAGTAAACTGCACACTGAATTCAGATTATTTATCTTTCTCTCGATATGGACATAAACGCGAGTGAAGTCTAATCTGACAGGACGGAGACACCTCTCAAACTACCTAGTTATAAATATGTTTATTTTTACTGTCGGCCGGGTCACTCATTACTGGATCAGCTGCTGCATGAAACAGACACTGACGCTGTCCGAAGAGAGGGAGGAAAAAGAGAGGCTCCGTGTATTTTTATTATTATATTATATAAAGTCGTTATTCATTTGTTTTAAAGCTCAATAAATAACAAAGAAGACCTTTGACCGGCACTTTTATAATTGTGTCGGAAGGTTTAAACTTAATACACGTTGACTGGCGAAAAAACTCTGCCCGGTTCCCTCGGCCCCCCACCGCGGAGAATAAACAGAAGGGCAACCATGACAACCATGCTTCTTCGCTGCTTTTGTGGAGGAAGTTACAGCGCCACGTACAGGCTCCTGCATATGTACTGCAGCTTCTCCAGCGGTTGGAGCTAAACGGAGCTGTCTCGTGTGGACAGACACTATCCAGTGAATATTGCGTGTGGACGGAAGCTTTTTTGCGATTGCGTTTGCGTTAATCCTATGCGTTTAGCCGTTTTCGTCTTCGTGTGGCCGGGGCCTAAGATCCTGTCACTGGGACACTGGAGTATGACATGAGTCATGGTAAATGTCCTTGTGGAGGCACCTTTGCTTTTGCTACTATGATAAGTCCTAATTTCTGCTGTGGGAAAATATATTTGTGTTAGTAATAAACTCAGCTCTATATGTCGACTGATGATCACTATTACTATATATAAATAGTATAATAAGGGTGGAAAATCACATTCAACACAACACAAAAGGCCATGGTAGAGCCCTGTCACTCTCAAGGTTTCCCTGTGGAAGAAAATACTCTACATTACTTTAAATGGTATCATTTAATGCCTTTAATTTGTGTATAGCACTTTGAATTGCCTTGTGTTGAAAGGGGCTTCCCTTTCCTTGCCTTGCCAAGAAGACTTGAACTAGCAACTGAGAGGTAAACTGGTCAGGAAAATGTTAACTGAAGGTAAAAAAAGAGAGAAGTAGGGTCAGATGCTGCTATATTGTATACTGAATTATAGGGTGTTATAACCAAACATTAGATAGTTATTACAACATTCTGACAATACTTTATGGGAATGTATGACTACAAACAGAATTACAAATGAGTGTTGATCTAAATCAATATTATATAAGTTACTTATACATCAATTATACTGTACTATCAGGGCAGTTACAGATATTATATAAAATACTGGCCTTTGCTCAAACTAAATGTGTAATTAAGAAATATTTAGTGGTTGAAGAAAATTACAGAAATACGTTTTAAATAATGCATCATATCTAGCTATAATGAACATATCCATACAATTTAAAGCATTAATGCCACCACTCACTACTTCTAATAATAATATCAATAATAATGCTCAATTTGTATGTAGACATGAACTGCATAAGCACAAATTCAGTAATCACATATGCACGCCATAGAGGAGAGAACTGTCAAGGACAAGCAGAGATAAGTAAACAACAGCCTGGAGAAAGAACCAAAGTCACACATGAGATCTGCTGCTTTTTTCATTCATTTCATTTCTGTCACGTCCCAAAAAAATTATTGGCATTTCAACCTGCATCAATTGCGTCCAGTCAATTTTAATGCTTCCAGTACAAGCACTAGATTGCATTGGCATTCCTATTCATATCCATCGATCCTTCAATTTGAAAGCTAATGTGGGCTGGCTAAGCCTCCAGGTGTTCATTCTGAAGGACACACAGCAACAGAAAACAATCCAGAGAGCTAACATTACTCTGTATGCACACTGAGAAGAGAACAGTTGACTGAAATACTTGTGAAATTAAAGCTTGTTGTTGATTGAAGCATTTAAATGAGCCGCCATTCTCATATAAAACCTTTTTTTTGGAATTTGGGTGAGACGGCACACATAGTAATGCAAAACCAAATTGTTTTGAACACAGAGAATCAGCTGTTTCTTTGTCCTGTACTGTCGACGTGTTAACGCTTTAAAGAGATCAGTATACGTCATAATCCCTTGGCAGGACACATTTTTATGGAGAGCCTGTGAGCCCAGCGAGGGAGAGAATCCCATGCAGAATAAATTGTGGCCTACATTGAGCTGCCTCCAACATTATTTAGCTGAGGTTTTCTGCTGAGGTGCGATTAACCATTTGAGACTTCCTTTGACTACTAACACAAATGTACAAAGAAAATGTACGCACCCTAGATTCAGTTTGATTAACGAGCTGTAATGCTTTAGAGACTGGGAAATAGTAAAAAAAACAACTCCATCATATGAACAGAAAGTGTAACTGATAAGAAATAGGACGTCATTGACCAACATACATGTGGTTTAGTGGAGTTAACTATAAGTGTTATATATGTTTTAGATGGATGGATATATAATACACCATAATATGTATAGGCCTGGGGTGTGTCTGAGCAGTGCAGAGGCAGTTGTGTGTTTAGCCCAGACATGATCTGACTCAGCCTGTTGTGTTAGAGCTGTGTGTTTAATTTTGACAAGCCTGACAGATGAATCAACTCCGCCATTTAACACCGGAGCAAAGCAAACATTTCATCCACTTACCCCCTGCTCTGTAGACTCAGTGCAAGCAGCATCATTTGCTCTGGTGCAGCATAGACAACCACCATGATCACAAGCGGTGGTAACATGGACAATATTTCTTTAACCAAATTGAAATATTTGTGTTTAGAAATTAACTGTTTACATGGAAGCTGAATTAAGTGATCCCATAACATTTGCCTTTCCATGTATCAAAGCATTTATCAGAATGTAACAATTTGTCTTGCACAATGCGAATCGGCCTACTGTAAAGTGCTTAATCTGCTGTAAATACATCAGAAGAAGAAGTGTTTTTTTTGTTTATTGGGACAATTCAATTCATTCATTGCTTATTGATGGAGTATAGAAGAATAAGAAGTGGATCTGCCTGTTAATAGATAGATTAATACAACTTTCAAGATGGACCCACATTGTGTCCTGGGAGCAATATTTGCTTTCTTGCAGTTCTTTCTAATTAAGCAGCAATCTCAGCAGCACACACTTCTCCTGCAGTCTTTAAACAGGGGAGAGTGCCCTGGACTCCACCGGCGCAGCTGGAGCCGGAGATGATCTTTATAATTATGCACAGGATTTGTGTCTAAAAACATAGCCACAAATCTTGAAAATTGTTGTCATTAATCGGACTATATTAAGTATGGTAAGGCTACAGCACAGGAAACACACTTTTAACAGTAGCAAACACATATAAAATGCATTGTTATAGCGATTGTATACTGTCTGTTTGTAAAATTGAATTTTGTGGGTCGAAAACCTTAACTTATACAAGTGTGGAAATGTGAAGATGCCAACAATGTGATTCAACTGTTTCCGGATGCACAGCCGAACTGTATTGACTCCCGCTTGCATTGTGTAATGTAAAAGTACATACTGCATTTCCCTTACACTGGACTTGTGGTCCTCTGTATATCCTTTAAGCTTAAGTGCCCCTTAAGCACTGTCCTCCATGGTGTACACATCAATAAAACGACTCAAACATCCAGTTCAAGGCCATTTCGAAGAGTTGCAGCACATTGACAGCGTGCAATCTGATTTAACCGCACTGTGCAAAAAGCAAAACTAAAAAAACATGTAGAAAAAGGAGACATCTTGAAATTGATTTCTGACATTTGTGTTTTGCATGCCATGTGTCCAAGTACTAAGAGCTGCCAATCTCGCCTTTGACAGAAGGTGTTGTTGCTTACCACAGCTCCTCATGAAAGTTAAGCCGACAATGATGGAAAGCATTTCCACGGTTACTGATCTCAACTTGAGAGCACAGCTCCACAGTCCAGACTGAGGACCTGTTGATTCTGCCTGCTGACTGCCTCAGTGGTAATCTTCGATTAGTACCGATACAAATTTGAGCTACGCTGGCATAGCAGATGCTTGTCACCATGGTAACAGGCATATAATGCTAGGAGAGCAAACTCCTCTGATGGTCTGTAAATATATACCAAACACACAGGAAGGTGGAAGTGCCAGATGGCTATGCCAGTGTTTACCGTCACTCACACACTCAGTGTACACTTGACGTATTCATTCTCAATGAGGAGACATTTAATTAATAGCTAGAAGTTTAAAAGCTTGGCGAGAAAATTACCTTATATATATTCCTGAATATGCTTTCGTTGTTAACCTAATATACTATTAAAATCCACCATCAGAGCTGTCGCTAACATCTGAACCTAATTCTGTACGTGCACGCTTAAGTATTACCTGAGAAGGAGAACAACTGAGGAGAGACTGAGAGGTGAGCCAGTTAGACCCAAACAGGGAGTGACATTGCTGTCAACCCGCCATCCCCTCACAACAGTGTACGTTGGTCTAGTCTGTGTTTGCGTCTCTGTTCTGGAAGCTCAGTGCAGGAGGAGACAGAGCTGTGCTGCAGTCTGTGGAGACCAGCCTGCCATTTCTGCACGCCATTTGGGGACACGTTGTCCTTTGGGAAGCTTACCCCGGACTCAGCAGGCTGACAATGGGCAAGGAGGGAAGTGCTGCTGTGGGCAGGGAACGTTAGAGGAGGGCAACTACGAAAGAAAGTCCTAATGGAGTGTTTATTTAGGGCAGAGAGCCACACACAGACAGCTCATCTTAAGAAGAGGGCTTGGGGGCATGAGGGAATGAATTCAAATGGTCTAGGACCAAACAGTGCCATTTAAATTACTGTTGAATCTCTCCAGCTCCTGCCTTTCAGAGGAAAAAACTCACTCCAGGCCATCTGTACTACTCTTTGCCTGCTTCTGCTCCTACAGGTTACACACATGTACTTTATAAGCTGACTTCAACATTCATGAAGCAGCTTTTATAACAGTTACACAACTCCCTGTATTGTTTTTTCTTTTTCTCCAAACTCCCCAAACCACAGAGTGTAGGCTGACAAATGTCTACACTTACATATTCACTAAAACTGGAGTGAATTTAACTGAAATGTAACTCAGCATTTTGCTGCAGAGCCCATTGGGAGCCCACTTTGAGAACAACTGCTGGAAAATCATAGCAGTGAGATGTCACTTTCTCTCAGAATAAACTCTAACAATAGCTAGCTCTTCATTTCAATAGAACATAATATGAAGTGATTAGTTATTCTACTTAGTGGGGCTCCTGTTACTATAATTGTAAAACCCCTCAGACGAGAACCATCCTATAAACTTTATTTGTGCTCCTGTGATATATAGCTCTGATATGTTCTTGCTGTGAGGCACTGATATAGCCGGAGAGATCCTTCTTATTTAAGGAAACCCACTACAATAAATACAACATAGCAAGGTACAAGATTGCCACGGCTGGTTAACGGTAACTTTAGTGTTTAGTTAGCCTTGCTTTAACTGCAAATCCTCTTTAGCACCACATACAAATACTAAAAAAAGTTGAATAAACACAGTTGTCTGTAACCTAGATAATTTCAGGCAATCCAAACTCTTCTGTACACAACGTCAACTGCCAGTCTTAAGCCCTTTACTCCGTCAATCAGCTTCCTGTCTTCTGATAAAGGAATGGAACTCATTGCCAAACTACCTTACTGAAATAGAGTCCAGAGCCTCTTTCAAGAAGCGATTGAAGGACCATCTACTAATGACCATGTACCGTTGTGAGCTGTGAACCCTAATTGAATTTGATCGCATATTTTGTACTGGTGGGTGTCTTGTGCACTCATCCTTGGCTGAGATTGATATTGAAAGTGGATGAGATTGTTGATGATGTTGGAGATTGTTGATGATATTGGTGATGTTGTTAATGTTGTTAATGATGTCAGGACTTATGTCCTTGCTGTATTATTGTTGTATTGTTTTAAGTGTCGGACCCCAGGAAGAGTAGCTTTTGTCAAGAGCAAAAGCTACTGGGGATCCTTAATAAACATAAAACATAAACATGATTCTTCTTCATTGTCGTAGTAGTGTATTACTATATGGGACTTTATTGCATAAACAATACATGGAATCCACTGATCAAATCATTACTCTACAGCAGAACTGGAGGTCAACAACTCCACAAGGGGCCTACTGTAAAGCTTATTTCCCTTTTCTATTGTGCACATATTTGCTCAAATATTTGCTAAATCAACAAACTTGATATCACAACCAGTCAGTTGGCTGAATGATCTTAGCAATAGTCAAGTCAGTTCAAAAGTTTAGTAAGCTAATATGTCAAGATGAGATGAGACATGCAAAAGAAGCCTGTCCTCTTATTTCAGCTAGTTCTCGCCACCTTATGTTTTTTTTTTCGTTCTCTTTTGTCCTCAGTGAAGGCCACTCCAGCTGACAGAATGACATTTCTGGGGCACTGTGAGAAAACGTCCTGCAAAGGGCATCAAACGCCATACAAAAAACACAAGACATGTGTTACATATCTCTGACCTTAAACAGTGGTGACTTGAAAACACACATAGTGATGTGTATTGTTGCAGCAGGGTTGTAAAGAGCCCCATGAGCTAATGGGTGCACAAATGCAAGAAACGAATAGCCACAGCATGAGGATCATTTTATACATCATATAGTGCTATACGCTGAATATCTTCTGTGTTTGTGCATGATAACACACACTGCAAAACTTACTGCTAAAGTGTATCTCTCATGGTCAAATGCATTTTCCCATGCTAAAAAAACCCAACCCACAGATACTGCAACTAGCCGTTCACTGCTCCCATTTTTCCAATTCCAGTCCTGGCCGCCTGAGAAACAAGCTATCATTACAGGACCCCGCCACTCATTTGCTATGGGGACGTTTGTTGTGTGATAATAGCGGGCAAGGCTCTCAGGTACAAATCAATGTTAGCCTCCGTCCTATTGCTCAGAGGCCAGCGTATATTTTTGGAGCACTTACCAAAGTCTGGCATGTTTGATTCTTTTTCTTCACCTCCGCCTCAAGTGCTTCACACTCCTTCCTTCTGGTGCCGATCTCAGTCTCCTGGGAAGGGAGAAAAAAGCAGGACAGCTACTAAAGTTTGTCAGGAACAGAAGCTTCCTAAGAGAACTCAGTGGAACTAGGCAGGGAAATAGGGAGCAGGAACATTTCATTATTCAGCAGTGTTTAGGTGTGTGAGTGTATGTGTGTGCGTTCCTGTGTATACTGTATGTAGGTGTATGTGCAACAGAGACACAAAGAGATTATCTGGGATTATCCGATTGATCTAACAAAATGTTTTGTTGCCGGAAAAAAAAGTAGGAGGTTGGAATGATGATGATGCTGAGGATGCAAAATAGGGTGTACTCTAAGAATAATGTGATAAAAAGGATAAAACACAAGTTCAAAGTTGTTGTAAATGAATAAGGTTCTGTTTTCTGTATTTTGGTTGATTAAAAACTTACGAAATATTTTCGTTTTTCCAGAATACATCACTTATTTGTCACAGTAGAATAAGCACAGGTGTAACTAATAACCTTAACGATGGCTCTGTTAGATTTAAGGGTCCCAGTAGGCAGGCCCCTAATTAATGTTATTAATTACAGCTGTGCTTTTTCGGCACGTGTGCTAGGTATATCTTATTTCTTTTCATTTCAAATCTGTTCTTTGCTTCCCTTGCACACCATCACAAAATATGGCATGATCATGTTTTTCGCCTGTCTTCCAGAGGATTTTTTTTTAGAATATATATTTTGTTTGTTTGAATAAATGAGTCTGGAACTGGACATTAACATTAAAGGTGAGGTAGGTAATTAACTTCAGAAACACTTTTTGTTATATTCCATTTAATGCTCTTAACATCCCGATGGCAATGAATACATGAAATGCTTTGACAATAAATACATTAAAAAAATGCATCTGTGGAAGCCGTGGCGCTGTCTGCCAGCCTTCCATCTGTGCACAAACTTATCTTGTGCCCTCATTGGTCATGTGCGCGTTTGTGTGTGTTGGAGGAGGGTATTTTCAAATTCTAGCGCACTCGAGCTGGTTTCTACATTCTTACCTACCCTACCTTTAATGACATGATCAAAATTCAACTTTTGCCAAATGCAGAGGTTATAAAAGTGTATTTCTTTGAAAAATGTATATTCTGTTTTCAAATAAATAAAAATAAATAAACTGAAACTAAATGATTTATAAATATTTGTACAGATCCTGTGGATTGCATTATTTCAGTCTGTATTCATAAAAGGTTCAACAAGTATCGATCTAACTGTCAAGTTCTGTCTTTATTGTATTTTGTCTTATCTTTTTCTGTCTTTTGTTTCATGTTTTATTTTGAAAGGTCTTCACCTCCTGTCTTGCCTGTTTCTGTCTGCGTTGTGTCTTGTCTTTAGATCTGTCTGTGGTTCCCTGTCGTTAGTTTCCCTGGTGTGTCTTATTACCCGATTGTGTTTTCTCCTCCCTCCTCACCTGTGTCTTGTTTGTATAATTAGTCTTGTCTAGTCTAGTCTGTCTTTGTCGGTTCGTCTTGTGTAATGACTTGGTCTACGGTGAGTGTTCTGTTCAGTATTTGTTAATAGTTTAGCCTTGAAATAAAGGAGTTATTTTTGTCACTTTAATCTGCATTTGGGTCCTGCTTCCTGCACACACCGTAACACTAACTCAATATTCCATCATGATGTTTTTAAATGCCTGACATGTCTCCATAATGCAGCCTTTTAACTGAGCTGACAGCTGAGTTTTCTTCACAATGTGCGATTAGAGCCAATAAATGACTTAAGTCTGCAACAATTTCCACAGAGAACCATTTGTTTAGTCTGTCAGCAATATTTAGAGAGTTCATCCACACAGGCTCCTCAGTAGGAAGACAGCTAGACGTGGGATTTCCTCATCAAAGCTGCCTGTGAGTTCTGCCTTATTGTGGCAATGCCACATATTTTTGTCACTCCACTTTAATCAGGAGGTGAATTCTTTATGGTATTCAACAATGAAGGATATGCCTATCTGAATAGAGAACAGACACCTTCTTTATGGGCATGTCTTCAATGCATAGCCAACTATTGCACTGCTCTTATAGTACAAAGTACACAAAAGTGTTACATCACCAACCAGATCCTGTTTATCAGCGGACTGAGCGCTCCATCAGTGTACGAAGAACAGCCTTGCTATGGATGGGAGTGAAAGTGCAGCTGGATGTTCTAAGATTAGCGTATAGAATTAAACAGGATTTTATCTGTGTCAGTGTGAGCTACGAGTGTGCACAAACACACGCGCGCACACACACCCTCATGGCACCACGTGTCTCTGAGAAAGTCTAAAATAAGCACCAGCGGAGCCACCAGGAGCCCACAGCACACAATATATGCTGCATGTTGGAATGCATGAATGTACACTTCATCACAGAAACAATCACAGCTCGGTTTAACTTTGAATATATATTGGAATCCATTCAAGTGGAAGACTTCAGCCGGTTCCCCTCTTGACCCGAGTGCCGACAATATCCAATAGGACAGTTTGCAATCAGGCCAGTGAGCAGGACAAACGGAAGGAAATTGAACAAGCTTTGACCTTTTTGAGATCTGTAACCTTGTGGTGTTTCACCCCAGGCAGCTGACAGTGGTATGATTACATCTTTAAAGCCTTATCTGTTGTATCTGTTCCACCAGTGATCCTGCTCAACTGCATGTATGTGTTAGCTCGCTTTCTAGTATTTGTATCCTGCTGCGTTAAAAACACTCAGATGGAAAGAAAATTGTGAAAAAAACTGTCCTGTCATGACATAACAGATGTCATGATTAAATACCCAATTAAGATTTCAGATACATATCTATTGTGGTTTTAGAATTAAAATAATGTGTAGTGGTCTTTTCAAATGTTTGTTCTTAGGGTAGTTAGGGTAAGAGTTTGCATTAAGTATGATGTGACGAAAAGGGAGCTGAGCCAGAAGGCAAAGCTCTCGGTCTTCCGGGCCATTTTCGTTCCTACCCTCACCTATGGTCATGAAGGATGGGTCATGACCGAAAGAACGAGATCGCGGATACAAGCGGCCGAGATGGGTTTTCTCCGCAGGGTGGCTGGTGTCTCCCTTAGGGATAAGGTGAGAAGTTCGGTCATCAGGGAGGGACTCGGAGTTGAGCCGCTCCTCCTTCGCGTCGAAAGGAGCCAGTTGAGGTGGTTCGGGCACCTAGTTAGGATGCCACCTGGGCGCCTCCCTAGGGAGGTGTTCCAGGCACGTCCAGCTGGGAAGAGACCAAGGGGTAGACCTAGGACCAGGTGGAGGGATTATATCTCTTCGCTGGCCTGGGAGCGCCTTGGGATCCCCCAGTCAGAGCTGGTTGATGTCGCCAGGGAAAAGAAAGTTTGGGGCTCTCTGCTGGAACTGCTACCCCCGCGACCCGACCACGGATAAGCGGGAGAAGATGGATGGATGGATGATGTGAATACATTTAGGTTTAAACTGCAATAATGTGGTGTCCTTAACTTCTTGGGAAAACTGTTCAACCAATAGTTGCAGCAGTAGACAATCACAGTGTGGTCATTATCTGTCCTAAAAAATGGCTGATGTTTCAGATCATTCTTCATACTTAAGAGATGATTCATTTACTTTTTCAGGTGGGGGAGTTTGTAACTGCAGTTTCTATAGAATCCTTAATTCCTGAAACCCCACAGTTCTGGCGAACTAAAAGTCAACAAAACAACATGCAAAGACGATTGACGCAATACAAATGATGAGAAGATTTAAAAAAAAAAAGAAGAGGAATAGAAAAGTTCCAAAAACATTTCTTATCGACATTGACTAATGATTTCCTTTGAGTGAATCACAGAGCCTCCGCAGACAGCTTGCCATCTCCCATGTGGGCTGGTATCTAATGTGTGCAGTCCTTAGAACCAGACGGCTACAACACACAATATATTTTTTACTCGCAGACTTGCAGACACACACAAATACACAGCTCTCAGGCTCGTTGAAGCCTATTTGTTTGGAGCACATTTGCCAATGTTCAATTAAAAATCCCTCTGATAAAAGATTCAAATGGCTGCCATTGTGAGTAATGAGCTCCTGTATAAGTGAAGAGGCGTTTACTGCACAGCAGATGAAGACAGATGAGAAAGACCATCCCCTTAGGCTGGATCTAGCATTCGTGGCAATAATGCAAATGCATGCACAGCCATCTTTACCTCCATGTATATCGTTTGCTACTGTATACGCAGCAGGAATTTCACTCTGTCATTAAGAACAGGACATTGTTAGAAATCAATTTATTTACAGCTTAGTTTAAGGTGACTGTGTAGTGTGGTTTAAGTTCATAGCCAGATTCAGACTGATCAAGTAGTAACGTCATCTGAAGATATTCGATGATTATTCAAGGAGCCAATCGACACAAAAACAACAACACAGTTTTGATAATTGATTAATAATCATTTAGCAAGCAATGATACCAACATTTTTGGGGGTTTTAAGCTATAACATATGAGGATGTGCTGAGTTTGTATATAATTAAAAAGTGAATTTAAGAGACTTTTAGGATGTTGGATGATTTTGGGCTTTGGAAACATCCATACACCTTTTTTTATTTCTTGAAATTCTATTGAATAAAGCCAAATCAATAATTCAACACATTTACCAATAATACAAAATAATCATTACATGCAGCCCTACACATTTCTGTCTGAAAAGATATGGTTAACATGATTAACATTGCCAATGTCGACATTAGCATTGTTACTGTGTCATGTTAGCATGCTCACGTTAGCATTTAGCTTACAGCAACACATTCCTTAGTATAGTCCCACTCTTGTTAATATTGGATCTGTTTTTCACTAAATCACTGATGATACATTTGACAGGACCATAATACACAATTATTCATTAAAAAAAAAAAACATAAAATTAAATAATAACATGTACTTTACCACACTTTTTTTTTTAAAATATCACAAAACACATCTAAAAATATGACCATTTGTTGTATATGGCTTTACTATGCACCAATCAAACTATGGAAGTTTTGCAAAAGTAATCAGTTGAAAACAGCCAAGGCTCAGCTGTGATCCCTGAA